AGCAAATACCAAACAGTAATTATTCAAAGGGAATAATATAAAAACTACCTTCCATCCAGAGGCGGATTTAGAGGTCTGGAGACCCTGGGACAACAAAAGCGCGGAGGCACCCTGGCTCCTAATTGTTTTCCATATAAAATTAACAAATTTCTTGGTCAATAATTTATGGCGAAACCAACTAAATTATTTCAACATATACAGGGTATTTCTTAAGTACGTGTAAAAAATTCAGGAGCATGTTGCTGACGTTTAAATACGGAGAAAAGTTTGTATAAACATATGTCCGCAAGTTATTCATTATGAGATACAGAGTGTCAAATTTTGATTGTTATTTCGGTTTTTTGTGAATGAATTATAAAATAATCCAGATAATCGGGTGAGATACCAAGTTTCACCGTTCATTCCTGAATTTACCCAAAAAAAAAACAGGAAAAAGTATCAACCTTTGACATTTTGTATCTCAGAAATGAATAACTTGCGGACATATGTTTGAATGGACTTTTCTTCTCATTTTGACGTCACCAACATGCTCCTGTAATTTTTACCCGTACTTAGGAAACACCCACTAGAAATATTGTTATAAACAAGAATTATCTGAAAGGAGGTTTCGTCCCATCGAAGTTCGAAGCATATTTTTTATAATTCAATTATAAATGAGCGTTATCCAGTGCAATTCGATGTTGTCAAAACCAAATACATTCTCAGTGCAATTTCAATGTTCGGGAATGTAATTCTTGAAATTTCATATTCAAGAATGTCGTATTAAATAAAACACCTCAGTCCCAGTAGATTGGTTTGTTCCATAGTCCTCTCTGAGGCTACGGACAAGTATTGCCCCACATTGGGATACTCTATCAAGATGGCAAGATGGGTAGTACTCAGTGCAGTTTCAATGTTCGGGAATGTAATTCTTGAAATTTCATATTCAAGAATGTCGTATTAAATAAAATATCTCAGTCCCAGTAGATTGGTTTGTTCCATAGTCCTCTCTGAGGCTACGGACAAGTATTGCCCCACATTGGGATACTCTATCAAGATGGGTAGTAAATGGCAACAACTGCTTATCAGGGCCATTTTAACAAATTGATATTTTCAGATTGGAGTGAACAAATATAATTAAATTATTTTTCAATATTTATGAATAATACAATCATGTGTCTACAAAGTACTAAGGGTAAAACTCGGGGTGAAACAACGAACTCAACTTTTCCATAAAAAATATTGAAGATTTCTTTCTCTATTGTGGAAACCCCTTCTTTGTGGAGGCCTCGGGGCTGTAGCCCCGGATGCTCTCCCCTAAGTCCGGCACTGCTTCCATCAGCATGAGCACTTTATCTCAAACGTGTATCATTGTCACTATATAAGCTATCAACTCATTTAAAAACGATAAATGCCAGTGAAAACATACAAAAAATTGAGATAAAAGTGATAAAACACAATGCAAAAATATGTGACTCAGCTAATTGGTAAAATATGTATAGGAAGAGAAATGAAGGCGCATAAAAATAAATTGCATTCTTCCTATAACAATAAGAACAAAACAATGTCACACTCTATGCATTGCCTATACAAGTTAGCACCTATTCGACTTTGCGTAATTATTATCAAATAAAAACTTTAAAGACATTATTCATTGACACTTGTTCAACTCTAATGAAAAACAAGAAAAAATTGAACAAAGTATGTTATTAGTGGCAATGCGAGATTTCTCTATACCGACGTCTCATAGTTTGTATATCGATATCAGATTGAAAATAATCAGCCTATTGAATAATAGTATAATGTAACAAGTGTTATAAACGTCCTTTTAGTAGCGAGTATTTTGAGCACGAGCGGAGCAGAGCGGAGCGAGTGTTTAATAAACGAGTGTCTAGAAGAGTTTATAAACGCGTAACATATTATGCTTTTTCTACTCCGAAAATTACATTAACATACCTGATATTCCTGCTAACCTACAAAATAATTCGAAAGGAATGGGAATTGAGAACATTTTACATGCAACTGCATGCAATCAGAGAGACACGTATAAGTGATATTGGTTGTAGATGTGTCCAGTCCATTGCTTACTAACCTTTGTTTCACGTTTATATGATGCTTAGCGCAGAATGAATGAATTGTTCTCAAAGATGGATGCTTCATTTTTACACTTCTTGGAGATATGCAATTACCAGAACATTCTCTTCGTTTTCACTTTCGTCTACATTTCGCATACATTTTTAATGAATAATTCTGATACAAACGAATATTGTTTGAATAATTCTGAAACGAAATTAGAAAATAACAGTTGACAGTTGATACAATTGACAGACTAGACATGTCTAAAATTACTGAAGCTGTGTTTAATGAACTCTGTTGCCATGGTGATGTGCTAACGTGTTTAATATTTCGAATAAATCACAGATCGTCAATTCGTGATTAATCGATCATTTAGCGTGGTACTTATCCGTACGCTAAATGCCATTTTAGTTATGTGAGTAGAAAAAATAATTTTCATTCAATTAAATTTTGTTGGTTCAAAATTAAAATTCGATAGAATTTGAAATGAATTGACCTATATCGATAAATAAATAAGTTCATCTGTCTAAATGTTCTTCTACTGGATCGATTCAATCCCATTCTAATTAGATTGAACATAAAATCTACAAAATTTGCCATTGAATAACTAACACCCTATATAGTCACTGTTTCGGAAAAAAAGTTGTTTTTGAAATTTTGGTCCTTTTAACAAACAGAACTAGGCCTTAAAAATCTGAATATTTCAGATATTGTGTCCACATTTTCGAAGAGAGGTCGTTGACCACTATATTGTGAGATTTTTGTTTTCGAAAATCGGTTGACGGGTTCAAAGATCCCAATCATTGTCTCCATAACTACTATAAAATAAATAACAATTTCTTCTTGGAACTCCAATGATCTCATTCACTTACTCAACTCTTCAACTTACTCAATCGAAACTTCAAATAAATGCAGTTACACAATAAACGATTTTAAGAACGACGCTCTCAAAATAAATATATTCGTTCGTGGATAAATATGTATGTATCTTGGGAGCAAAGGTTCATTTCTTCACACGTGGGAGTAAACGGATACCTTTGCTTCCTTGATTTGGATCGTAATTTCGAAATTCTACACGTAGAAAATAAAGGAATGAAACTCAATCATTTTGAATCAATAGAAATCAACAAACTCAAATGTTCTGACATTTTATTAGACCTCAATAGTTCACCACTGTTGAATTTGTTTGTATTTTGATGTAGATATTGTGCCTAATTTCAGAAAATGGGGATTTATCGACGCTGTCTACAGGTAACTAATCCTTCAGGTTGGGAAAGTAGGATATATAAGCAAGCCAATGTTAGTTTAGTTCATCACTACATAAGACAACACGCGGAGACTACATTCGGAAGAACGGAAACCCACGAGAACCCGCTACTGCACGACCTGACCAACAGACAATTGAATCAAGGCCCGCGCTTCGGAAGAATAAAGTACAGGCGCCCAATTCACCAAATATATGATAAAAGAACGAAATTAAATCAATATCAATAAAAGTGCATAATAATCATCAGATAAGTTTTATAAAAAAGTAAACCAATAATAATAAGACATAAACTCAATTTTGCTTCCCATTAGGTCATTAGGATAGGGAACCACCACGCAAAGTCAGGCAAGGACACACATTAGACAAAAAGGTTTAAAAGTCGGAAGACTGAAACCAAGTAAGGGGTTTTATGAAACATATGCAGATTGCCAAATGCATAAGGTTGAAGTCCACTCGTTAGTGAGTGGGGATGAGGAGCTATCATATAACGTAAGCTAGTTATATGGCGGCACTTGATCCTGGGCATTCAACCTTTCGGGGGGCGTGGTGGTGGGTTTAGTTCATCGTACCAGTACATCACCTGACGCAGCTGCTTTCGATAGTTTATTGCAATAATTGCAACCAAACTTTCAAAAATCAAAATGTCAACTAATTTCATGTCAAATAGCTGTCAGCCGATATTTCGCTGCTATGGTATTTATCATCTGCATTTATCAAAACCATAGGTTCATTCGGGTCCGAACAATTACTGTTCTAGAACTGTCAGGAGTTTGTGCAGTAGAATCGGTCGTGTTCGGGTTTTGTGGAACTGTTCTAGGACTGACCCTTTACGCGTTCGGGTTTTTTCATAATCGTCCTGGGACCCTAAATCTATCCGAAACCAGTACCTGCTCTCGAGCATGAACCAATCTAGGATCATTTTTGGCGCATGCACAATTTATTTAGTTTTCTATTCTGTCTGTTGTAGCGTGACGTCATAATGATATATTTTTGTTTATTCTATTGTTTATTGCTCTTTTCAATATTTTCTCAATATTATGGAGTTCGATCATTCGATAGTAGTAGTTCTTCATCTTCAGGAAGCAGTGGTGAAGGAGTTCTTTGCTGAAGTTGCTGAAAATATTGTGCCTAATCTAATAATTCTCGAACTTTTGTTAGATAATCCGAAAAATGGAGGATTATGTTGGGGATACTTTGCCATTATATTCAGATACACAATTCATTGAACATTTCAGGTGGGTGTCGAAATTCATGTAGGTATGTACAAGCATTGAGTATAATCAAGGGTACAAAAGGGACAAAACATATTGACAATCTAGCTACAAATGCTATGATGGAATATATTCACCATTTCTCCACATAGGGTTTCCAGAGATATTGTGAATATAGACTCAAAGGAGACTTTGAAGCTTCAGAATATTATTCGAATAAAGATACAGGTTCCAAACTATTATTTTTTCGCAAATTCTGTGTATAGGTTATGTTCTCAGAGGTTCTCGTCTGCCGCGTTCGGGTTTTCATAATTTGTGAACCGTTCTGAAACAGTCCTAGGATTCAAAACGACTGCGCACTAGTTCTACACAGTTCGAATGAACTGAAATCGCAACCCGAATAAACCTCATATCTACCAAGATTTCCATAGTTACAGTCACAACAACAAAAAAATAATGTCACTCACGCCTCGATTCGGCCGACAGCTTCATCTTGTCCAAGGAGGCGGAGTCCCTGTCGTTGTAGACCAGCACGCCGGCCGCGTTGCTCCTGAAGGCGTTCTCGACCTTGACCTCGAAGTTGCAGCGCCCCCTCTTGACCAGCGCTATCCAGGGGGTGTCGGCGGGAGGCAGCTGCCGGTCCGACCTGGAGCTGCCGAAGGGCGTTTGGCAGCCGGTGTGATCGTCCGGTCTGACGAGGGAGGTGATGTGAACCAGCTCGCCGGAAGCCGGACCTGGAAAAGGGCGCATATTTAGAGTGACCATAGATAAAAATGAAGGAGCACAAAGTGTGTCAGGGGCAGCTGCAACAAAGATAGCATGACAACTACGAAATAGCCACAATGCTCAAAGTGGAATGAAATGTTAAATAAATACAACGACTTAGAGTTATTGTTTTTCTCCTTTTGAAATACAGAAAGCTCAAAGTCATTTCCACACAATGTTCCTGGCTAATGCCACGCAGAACATTGAATTACATCATCCCGAAATCTATGTATCGACTCGTATTAACGAATACTGATACAAGTGATTCTTTCCTGAATGCCTATTGATTTCGATTTAGCCAGGCCACGCAGCCTTATAACCTTCTGATAACCTTGAGGTGTCAAAGATTTGCTGGTATAGCTAGACGCAGGAATCCGTTCTGCCCAAACATATGCATAGGTGATTCCTAAAGACCAATCAGAACAAACCAAGAAGCGCCTGCGTGTCGAGGAACTTCTAGGGTGCAACAAACATGAAACAAATAACCCATGTGGAGGTAACTGCATTTGTCGACTAAATTCTCTCTGGAAAAGGAATATTCTCAGAATCGTGATTGGGTTTTCTCAATTCAGAATGTCTTTCCACGGATTGATGATGTAGATCAACTCATACTGTAAATAAATTCTTTCTTTATACTATAATTTTCCCCGAGGCATATAACCTCCAGGCATTTACGAAGAACACCAATTTCTACCTTATTTCCCTTGGTTCTCACGATGTTCTCTGAACATTAAAGGATATCCCTTTTCGTGGGAACCAGGACATAAAAAAAAGTATCTGCGTGGCGCAGTTTTCTGTGTGTTCAGATTCCACGCCAGCGACCCGGGTTCAATTCCTGCCACGGTCGGCTTTCTTTAAATTCTGTTTCCTCAAGTGATTTTCCGTTTTTAGTGAGAATGTTCTTCAAGTCAAGTAAGGTTAGAATGTTTAAAGAAGTAGTCTACTATCTTATGCAGAAGGGATATTTTTCTTCCTCTCTGAAAAAAGTTGCGTGGAGGCATTTACTGTTGAGGCCGATAGTGATTCGCTATACCTCAATGATGTTTATTTTTCAGGACCGGCCGTGAGCGAAGCTCCCGGTCGGAAATTTTCTGTAGATTTGATTCCGCGCCAATTGTAGGGGTGTTCGCTATTATTTCCAATGATGTTAAAACATTCGTCATCCGAACTTACCGCCATTGCTCAAAACGCTCTGATTGGTCTCCTATACATATGTTTGTGTCTAAATCTTTCAAACCATTCCAATCACGTGATATGTGGTGATATGTTGAGATTCGTGTTTTTTTAAGATTATTTTTCGCAATACAATTGTGGAGGCTGAGTATGGCCAGACAGTTTCATCTTGGTCTCCATGGAAATCCAAGGAATTCCAGTTGCTTGGACACCAGAATTATACCGCACTTCTATCAAAGAATTCCAAGAAAATCCAAAGAATTCCAAGGAAATCCAAAGAATTCCGAGGAAATCCGAAGAAATCCAAGGGAATCCAAGGAATTCCAAGGAATTCCAAGGAATTCTAAGGAAATCCAAGGAATTCCAGTTGTTTATAGCACAGGAATATACCGCATTTTACCCAAGGAATTCCATAGAATTCCAAGGAAATCCAAGGAATTCCAAGGAAATCCAAGGAATTCCAAGGAAATCCAAGGAATTCCAAGGAAATCCAAGGAATTCCAAGGAAATCCAAGGAATTCCTAGAAAATCCAAGGAAATCCAGGGAAATCCAAGGAGTTCCAGTTGTTTGTACACCAGAAATCCACCGCTCGAGACCCCGAGAGTTTCTACGAGCAAATGCGAGAGCAAATGCGCATGAGTCCATAACGTATCACGTGATTCACTGTGACCAATCCATAGAAGTGTTTATTATTATTTCTATGGACCAATCTGACAATGAGGTTTGGGAATGGTTCGAAAACTTTAGGCTCTCGTAAAAGGATTCGTGCTAGCTAGACGCTTGTGACTCACCGACGTATCCACCGCCATACCGCCCGACGTCCGTTTTGTCCCACTTCCAACCGTCCTCGGTGAGGAAGGTGACGTTGAGGAAGGCCGACGTGAAGGTGTCCACCCTGTTGTCGTCCGGCGAATAGGGGCTGAAGGGGGCGCCGGACACCCAGTCTTCGGGTGAGGGCGAGCCCCTACCCCAGCCCCATCTGGCGGCGAACACCAGCAGCCACACCGTCAACTGGTTTTCGAGCATGTTCGGAGGTTAGGTTCCGGCCGGAACTAGCGATGCCCAGCCAAGTGCCACTGCGGGAGAAAATACAGTGTTGCCAGAACTTTTTTTGCAATAGGCGAGTGGACTAATTTTTTTTATTTCTTAAATATAATCATCACTCAAATACCTTTCAATTTCATATTTTTTTAAAAATTTTTTGGTCGATTTTTAGGTGCTGAAATCATCAATAATGCCATGGTAATTTTCAAACGGCTAGAAATTTACCGCCAGTAAAAACTTACGCCACAATTTCGTAAATAGGGGCAGACCATAGCACAGTTGCCATGTGTTGAAATACGATGGGGAACTTCGGAAATATTAGTTATTCGATAATTCATAAATTCTCGATTGAGTATCGATAATATTCCTAATTAGCAATAAAAATTCAGTTGTCTCGAAATGTTCCCTTATGATTTGTGGCTTATTGCTAATAATAAATATGTCTAAATAATAATTATAAAAATTCACACTAGAGGACATTTCAAACGGTGAACGTGACAACCACGGCGCACAACTTGTGGGCGTGGTCTTGTCAGTGCTCAGCATTCAGCACAATGTTGCCAAGTCTCCAACGTTCACATGATATTTTGTTATGGAGAATAAGACATATTTGGACATGCTGGTTGCTCAAAAAAGTCAAGAATGAACTAAAACATCATCCTATTATGTTTTATTCAACGACATGACTCTAACATCTATTTGATAACTTGATTATAATTGGTGACTTGACAACCTTGCTTCATGAGTGGAAATGGAAGATTATCTGACCAATAACGAAACAGCATAAAAACGGACGTCACAATTTATTCGACGTATCGCCGAATGGCGGCCATGAAGTTTTGTTTGAAATGAGCTCTGTAATTCAACAATTTCAAAAAACGCATAAACCAAGCCAAGCCAAGTGAAGAAGTTTCCATCGTATATTTAAAGCAAAATTTACATTTATATTTGATGAGGTATTATTCGTTACTCATTTCTACTTCCTCATGAAATTGAACAAATATTGTTTTCAATTCTTACTCACAATACAATTGTATTTTATTGTATGCATAAGGGGTGAATACACTGCGACCTAAAAGATCTACAATTACATGGTATGCCTGTGTATGCTATTTTTCTTAAGACTTCAAATAATGAAAACACTTTTATTGCCGTTTGCTATTGCTGTTTAAAAGAAAATTTATACTTCGAGATCATCCATTTTGTGCAACTTTGAGAAAATCTTTGGATATCTCACATTTACATAGATACATTAAATGCTAAATGAAATTTTCATAAAAGAATTGGTTATCTTGAAACCAATACCACCAATACAGCTCAAGTTCTTGCTAATTGAATGCACCCAAAACACATGAATCAGGTCATAAAATGCTAATGAGGTGGGTGGACCCTTGGCGCCTAAACGATAACTAATAGTACCTACATGGGCTTATACAAAATATATATATCAACATTCCAACATAACTCCAGAGTCGTTACGATTTATTTGGGCATCCATAAAAAACGATTTTTTTTCAAGTTTTTGAGTTTAACACACTGTATGTTGAAAACTATGCATTTCCGGACCCACGTGTGTTGTCTGACTCTGATGATGTCAACTACAACAGGAATCTATATTCGATTCAAAATAAAATGATAAAACTGGTCAAATGTCAAAGCACCTTGATTTTTATTATTTATACTATACATATAAGTATACCTATAGGAAGCAAGTCGAGAAGACGCGTGAGGTCAATAACAGGCTCGATAAAAACCGAGATAAAAGCAGTCGACACTCGACACCATCAGATCCACTTCCTGTACTTTTGAACAATAAGAAGAAAAAACTGTATTTTATCACATATTATCTATAAGTACTAATCTATACTAATATTATAAAGAGGAAAGATTTGTTTGTTTAATAGGCTCCGAAACACCTGGACCGATTTGAAAAATTCTTTCACCATTAGAAGCCGACATTATCCCTGATACCCTGATCACTGATCAGAGATTATATACTCCCCCCCCCTGATGAAGATAGGCTACTTTTTACCAAGGGAAAATGCTTCATTCCTACGGGAAAACTGGTGAAAGGACAACGGGTAGCCAGAATTATCCTTATCTTCTTCACAACTTCTGAACGGCTGAACCGATTGAGTTGAAATTTTATATGGGTACTGGGTTTCATGGATGATTTTTAAATGCAATTGGACGCGGTAGGTGGCGCTGCTGTCGGTACGTCAACTACTAATCGGCTTGACCGATTGGGTTGAAATTTTTAATACGTAAAACAACAACAACAACAATACAAAAGATACTGAGAGAATGAAGATAGGTGTCAGTTGGTATATAATAATAGCTCTCGTAGTAGCTATAGATAAGCACAAAAAATCGAAGAAGATAACAGGAAAATATGTACTGTAGATACGCGCATAGCTTAGGACTCTCAAGGAGTGCAACAATTTTTTTTTAATGCACCATGCACCAACCGTGCGAAACCGGGCCAGACAGTTAGTACCTCATATTATACTACATGTATAGGTATGTATCTGATATCTGAAATTAATTCTGGCGTCCCACAAAATTACAATCAGAGTCAGGAATCAGTGTATCCAGGGCTAAATTCGGAGCTAAATTTTATCAATATGTTCAAATACACAAAAGTCCTAAAAATCAGTGCAATACAGTGAATATAGAGGTAGGTTTAACTTAAATACGAGCTTAAATATAAATAGGTATTTAATGATAGGGATCCATGTCCTTATTATTGGTACAAAAAGGTATAGGTAGGTATAATACACCCTGTCTCGCCCTGTAATACAAGACTAAGAGTTGGAGTGAAGGAAGCTTCTGTAGGAATATTTAAATGGAAGGCTCTTGTAGAATGATTCATGAATAACGAGATGAATAATAACCTCGATAATGACAAATAGTGAATTTCTCAAAAAATGTAACTTCGACCAGGGTAAACACCCCTAAATGTTCGACCACTTCCAGTAGTCGACCATCCTACCAGAAAGTGACAAAATTACAAATAATGAGGAATCCGTTGAAAACATCGTTGCCATATATTTTTTCCAATACACAAACATATTATGTTCTAGACCTATCCTACAATATTTTGCACAGCTAATGGCAACAGTGTGAAAACAGTGTTGAAATTTCAATGGTATCGTGTGTGTATCCATCTAGAAAGGTAAGTGAAGTGCTATGTTTCTTACCTCGGTTTATACTATGAATCAGGCAGTTAGGAAATAACCGAGGAAATAACTGAAGAAATAACCTTTCAAAAAACCAATTTCGCTATAATATCACTGATATGCCACTGATCTCGCGACTGATATAACTTGTTATATAGTGTAAATTTACCGTATTTTACTGTATTTTCGAAATTTTCCTAACGAAAAGACCATGCAATTTCAATTTGGGATATTTTTTTTCACCTATGGTCGACTTCTGGCTCGTAAACCTATAATAGTCAACCGTCGGTCGACTACTGGAAAATACCTGTATTTATCAGATTATGCCAAAATTACCTGGTTCATTAACTCGCGGTCGACTATAGGTTTTCCAGTACTCCTCACTTGAATGCACATTTCAACCATTATATGATCTTTTCGAAATGATGAGTTTTTCAAATTTTTTGTTGTTTAGGAAACATTAGAAATGTAATGTCCCTTCGAGCTGCCGCTAGCTAATTTGGGATAGAATATCTCCAAACGAAGTTTCCGGCAGTTCCCCTTGGCATCGAATAACAACTTTGATATTCGATGCCCTTGACCACATACATATTTTTCATCGTATTTTTCTCGATATTTTTCATCAATATCATTCCAGAGGTGCAAACAACACCGTCCCTTTATATTCGCACAATTAGTTCAAGCGAGTTTACGAGTGTATAATCTCTGTCGGTATATATATTATTATTTATATAGGTAGAATAAAAACCACAGAGTAAACATACCTACCCTGTTTCAGAATTTGTATCTCAAAACTCCGACAATATCGGAAATTATCATATAGAAAAGTTGACTAGAATTGAAAACTACTTTCAAATATCTGATAACATCTACCTATGATGAAAATCATGTTTTATTATTTCTTACAATAACTTCTGATGATATGGAAGACTTTTTGTTATTATTTTTACACTACCACTACACACTGTTTTACCACTAACCAACCGATTTTTTACTCCTCGACACGTGTTTCGCTAACTATGTTAGCATCTTCAGGAGAAATATTGAAACGAAAGTTTGGTTAGTGGTAAAACAGTGTGTATATATATAGTATATTATCGTGCCAAAGGTTCCAGTCTTCGATATATCAAGATCAAGTTCTGCAAGGTCAAAAACCAAGAATGCAGACAGATAAGTATCATTTTTTTTTTAGTCATATAGGTATGCGAAAAAATCTCGAAGAATTTTTAAAAAATAATAAAACCAGATTTTAGATCAAAGACAATAAATGTGATTAGATATTTTCAACGTAATTTTTAATTCTAGTCAACTTTATTTACAGGGTGATTCACCATAAATGTCCCCCCCTCTAGCTCACTTATTTTTCAACCGACGAGTCAACCGATTTCAAAATTTGAAAAATCATCCAAAATGATTTTTCAGAAATTTTTTTCAGGTTGCATCAGAAAATACAGGGTGCTGGGAACAAACGATCTACAGGGTACTATTTTTCATTGTATTTTTAGATTCTCCCTAAAGAGCTGATTTCATCAATGCATCACACTTGGGGTCCAGCGAAAATGATTACAGAGATATAAGGTGTTCAAAAGTTCAAAATCGAGATTTTTCAACTTTAGGATTTTTCTGTGACGAAACTATTCGTTATCGGTCCGCATCTTGACTTTCGATTTACTGTCTACTGACATTTAATAATTGGAACATATTCACGGTAATCAGAATTCTGAATCTTGAACCACACTGTATAATTATGTTCCAATTAAATGTCAGTAGATAGTAAATCAAAAGTTGTGAAGGGGACTTCGAAGCCGTTTTGACCAATAATGAATAGTCTGGACACAAAAAAATACTAAAGTTGAAAAATCTCGATTTTTAACCGTTTTAACACCCTATATCTCTGTAATCATTCCCGCTAGACATGCATTGATGAAATCAGCTCTTCAGGAAGAATCTAAAAATACAATGAAATACAGGGTGAAAAAATCAAGTAGTACTCTGAATATCGTTTGTTCCGAGTACCCTGTATTTTCTGATGCAACGGGAAAAAAATGTCTAAAAAATCATTCTGGATGATTTTTCAAATTTTTAAATCGGTTAAAAAATAAGTGAGCTAGAGGGGAGGACATTTATGGTGAATCACCCTGTACTTTACCTACCAAAAACTTCTTCGAAAAAAAAAAAAGAAAAGAAAAAAAAAAAAAAAAAAAACATCGCATGATGATGACTTTCAACTTGACCATAACATCATTATGATATTTAATCAAAAGACATTTCACATTTAATTCTTAATTGATATCAGATAGGTATAATCACCCTCATGATTATTAATTGTTAATTGTTCATTTCTGATTGTTAATTTAATTGAATCTATGCATTAGATTCATCATGAAATGTTGATATCAGAATATTAGTCACCTGGTCGACTACTGGTGCATGCACCTCATCATAATAATATTATGCTACAAAATCGGAGAAGTAGAGGTAAGTATAATTTATCGCAGCTAAACTGTATTCCATCTCGTAAATGTGAAGTAAATAATATAAATATCAATCACTTTCCATAATTGCTAGTAAATAGGTGAGTAAATATAGGTAATTTAGTGTTAAAACTGTTAAAAGTATGAAATATCCAGTACAAAGTATCCATGAATAGTCCCGAGAATAATCCCGAATAATATTAATAATACCTATTCCGAGACCTATTCTTACCTTGATATCCTCTCGTTCCGAATGTTCATAGATTTTCTGCCATATCCCAAATAAAATAGAACCTAGTTTAGTCTAGTTAAGACTCAAGTCTCACTAATTTTCCACACTGAGAAACATGAGAAAACTAATACCCTCGGATTTCCCTAGGATTCTCCTGTGAAAATTGACCGACCGTCGTGGAATCAACGCGCACGGTGTTTCAATGCCCACATCGGCACACTTCCACCGTCTCGCATGTGCATCCAACTTCACTCACAATCACAATATTCACATTGATCAATGATCGCGGTCGAGACTCGAGACTTGCGTCTAGCGTCTAGCCCCTGCTGGAACTGCTTGTGTCGAGCCAGCGCGTTATCGGGGGTAACGGCCAGCGCCAGCGTCGCCAGCGAATATGCGGGCACTCGGTATGTACGCGGTCTATTCCAGCCCCGAACGAAAAAACGGAGAGCATGAATTCTGTACGCAATTTTCAATTGAATTGAGATTATATATTATACTTATTGACTTCAAAAATTTTGAATATTCTACTAGTTATTATTGAGTGGATCAGAATGAAAAGGCATGTTCTTTTTTCCACCACATTTTCATCATTGATGGAAGTGACGTCACTCTCTGATGCATCGAATTGTTGAAGTCATCAGTGTTGAAAAAAAACGTTGTTTTTTGACATGACAATCATGCACAACTATTTTTTCCTACTACTGCTATGGAAAGTAGCGCATTTCTCATATAGCTTACTTAGTTTCAAAACCATGTATTGCTCATACTGGGAGAAATATTTTTTCTCACGGCACTTTGCCAACACCACATACCCATGGAGAATCAACAAAAATCGCCCAAAACTTAATTGACTGCTGTTCAGCTTTGAATATTTAGTTCTCATTAGTGCTTTTGATAGCAGTTTTCATCAAATATTATTCCAACAATTCATCATAAATAATATGATGTATATGCCGAGATGTGACGATATTGATAAATGCACCGCCAGAGACAGAGATAATTAGAGAAGCTGCGAAGGTTGAATTTGTTTCCGGAAATTTCAAGAAAAAAGTATATGAACTGGCATATACGAAAAATTTATGAAATCTAAAAAAAATACAGAAATAGTATCGTTTTCGGAAAGTGTACTTTTTTGAAATACTTTGAGGAACTAGGAAAGGCGTCTACTCTTTGGTCGCAATAGTCAATGTGGCATAGTGTCACATTATAAAATGAATACCAATAAATAAGTTATAACATTACTTGGATTCTTTGGATAAGTGCAGTTGTAGAAAAAAATATAGTGTGCAACATGTGGGGAAAAGTATTTTTCTCACTCGTGTGTTTGCATCACTCGCCCTTCAGGCTCGTGCCACAAACTTTCACACTCGTCGGAAAAGTTGAACTATTTTCTACGGCTATAACACACGGTTGCTCTTGTTTAACTGTGTTCGATACATCAATGAGGGCATATACTTATTTGTATGTCATCAATTTTATTTCCGTATCGCATATCACAATGACTCCATTGTGTTATTATTTCGTAAAAAACTCATCGCCCATGGGATGTCAAATTTCAAGCAATGACAGCCCTTTATGGCTCTTTGCTCTTTCTAATAGATGTGAGATGTGAGCATTACTTTGACACGAAATCAGATGGCTACAAGATGAAGAAATCGAAAATGCCGCTGTTATCTGCTATTATAGCCGTAGAAAAATGATCGTGCATTACTTATTGCACGGAATGCTAATTTCCTACTTGACTTCATTCTCGTAGGATATCACTAACATTCCGTACTCGTTAAACAAATATACTATTTCCTTATTTATTTTTCTTTTCGCGATTTGATAAGGATTTAGATTGTTTCCAATTGAAAGCTCAGAATTGGCGAAAACTAATCGAATATGTCCTTATTGTCTCCAGATCCAAAATAAGTTCAAGCAGTTCTTGATCATCTGCGATAGTTTCCGAGGAAGAAATATTGTTTATGTTGGGGAGTAGATGACGAGATAGGTTAAAAATTCTCAACCTATACAAAACAGTGCATTAATTAAATTATGATGATATGGATAGATGAGTCATTATTAAGAATTATCTGTTGGTACCCAAGTTTCCTGAATTGCAATTTGATTCTGCTCTCCGGCAGATGGTTTCTTCAACCTATTTGTAGGAAAGGTATGTCGTTCTTATTCTGATACACCCTGTATATGACTATCAACATATACCTTCCTACAACTACTCACAAAAATTGTTTCTAACATGTATAGTTATCATATCTTTGTTTGCATTCGATTAGTATAGTTATTGTATGAAATCTCCGTTGAAAATTCCGAACAGACGCTTTCCCTATCTCCGTTCGGCGCTGGAATAGACCGCAGGCATACCGCGTGCCCGCCTGCGAATCTCGCTGGCTGGCCACAAGCAGTTGCCGGCAGGGGCTAGACGCAAGTCACCAGCTGTGTCACCAATCAAGGTGTCGAGACGAGAACTACCAGCAGGAACCACACTAGCGCCTGCAGAGGGAGAGCATGTTCCGATATTCCCGACCGAACGGTACTACCAGTTCCGATTTTACTAAAATTTACTGGCAACGTTTTCGCGGGTCATTGGCATTGCAAGGTACCCTGATTAGATGAGACTAAAGCGGCGTTCAATAATCATAACAATAATATTGGTTAGGTGATTAATATGATATTCATAGAACTGGCGGTGACGTAAATTGATCCTTATTCAATACTAGAAGAGAAAAATCAATCCTCAAAAAGAAAATATTCACGAAAAAAATCATGAGCAAAAACATTATCATAATCTTCCATACATAGAATGTTCCAATGTTCCATACAGGTATTGTTCTATCAGAACTATCATTAGTATTTTCTATTTTCATAACAATATCATTTGTCTATTTCGATTTCCACAGACGATGGCTTCTTGCAACTCAACTCAATTACAGATTTTGCTTCACCAATCAGAATACGAAACGTAAAAAGCAAAACGTAAAAAGTTTGGTTGTGAATGCCACTTTAAAGTTTACTGTTTGCCACTGGTGCAGAGTGCAGAAATGGTGATGTATATAGGGCCAGTATTTATGAGTCGATTAAAAATATATATTATTACGTTCAAAAACTTTGGGAAGATGTATGAAGTCGAACTGGAAGATCTCACAGAGGCAGTAGACGCTGAAACTGCCACTAATCTACAAGATGGTTTGTTATTCCCAATATTTTGATATCAAATACTTCACAGATCCTCTGGTACTAGATCTTGGTGTTATGGTGTTTCTGATGAATCAGAATCACTATCGGAAAATAGAATCCATCAAAACATAAAAAATTGAATTATCATATGGTGGTAATGGTTTTGTTTTGCTGCCAGTCAGTGCAGTGTACCAGTACTTGGCCAGTACTGCCAAAATCGTTCCAAAATGAAAAGCTACTGCTACTGATGTCACCTGTGGCACAGATTAACAAACTGTGGCCAGTAATGTCAGCAATAACGGAACATAGGTAGAGACGAAAGAACGACGCAAGAAAGCGCGTATGGAGGAACGTAAATGGCTTATGATCGGCGGACGAACCCGTTTTGCCCAAACATATGCATAGGCGATTCCATAGATCAATCAGAACAATCCAAGATGCGCCTGCGTGCGTCGGCATCTTAGGTGCAACAAACATGCGAATGCAAAAAATTGACAAAAAATGTATGTGCAGGTATAAACAATTCGGATCATAACGGGTGCCAGGATGAAGCCAAAAATATGAAACAAATGAATATCCATAAGGATTTGGTGGCATGATACGTAGTCATCAAAGACATGCGTTTCGGTGGACAATGACGTTTACTAGCCTTTCAATCGAAGCAGTATGTGTCTGATCGTATCTCACTTTTCCTTATGGAGTCATTTGTCTTCAAAAATCGGCTTCATGTTTCGCTATGGAAACAGATAGAGATTATCCGTAATGGTGCAGGTATAACTGCTTTACTGCTTTAGTCGACAGAATGATGTCGACAATATCTGTCAAGTGGCAAGTAGACACATAGTATCTGTCTGCTATTCCAATGATGTTTTTTTCCAGGATCGACCGTGAGCGAAGCTCTCGGCAGGATATTTTCTGTAAACTTGTTTCCGTACGGATTATCTGTTGCGCCCTGTCTCTACTCTTATTTCCTGCCCTTCTCCGGATGACTCATTTCAGGGCGTTTTGAATTCGTGCTTATGAGTTTTGAGTGTCATTGAGCATGAGTGTCACTACTGTCACTGTGTCAAGCACGATGTGTCAAGACTGTCAAGTATGTGTGACATGTTTCAGTTCTGGTAAAAAATGTGTACTTGTGTTGTTTGAAATTATTTAAATATTGCATTATTGCAAAAAATAGAATATAAAAATATATAAAACTGCAATTTCCAGCAACTTTCTTATAGTATTTATACTGTCCATAAGTTTTAATTCAGAATGGCAGCGTAAGTTCTCTCTTGACGGTATTTTCAAAGTTTCATACATTTTTTAATAAAAATAACATATGTTCATGGTTTTTCTTTTTTCCAGGTCGAAAGTTACCTTCAAAATAACGTTAACTTCTGACCCTAAGCTACCATTCAAAGTGTAAGTAATATTCATAATTTCCTAAGGTATAAGTGATAATTTGGTAGTTACTGTCAGGATTTGTTTAATGTAGTTTTTGTCAACAGATGACCAGGGCATCCTACCAACCTGACAGTAGCTACCAAGGAGCCAGAAATGTCTGAAAATTCGTCATATAATATCACCCAGATATTGTCTTCATTTGATGCATTTGTAAGCATTCTAGAGGACCCTATTTGGTTTAAATCTGCTACAGTTGAGGATATCAAAACTGCATTCAAACTAGGCAATTTTGTTGAAAAGAGCATGTTGCATTTCAAAAAACAGAGTGGTACCAAGGAGTTCATGAATATTTTATCTAAATGGTGGCTCTCAAAAAGTAGAACAAAGGTTTATAGTGATAGTATCTATTCCTCTGCTTGTGATGAGTTACTGAAATGTTTTTTTGGGTGTGATGGTATATCAGAAAATAACCTAGATGTAGCAGTTCGTATCTACACTTCCTTGTTTCCTAAAGAACGTATGGAGAGTGTCTTGAGTGACCTAATTTTGACTGCAGCTTCATCAAAAGAACTGACAGAATTTGCTAAGAAAACATTAACTGAAAGTGAAATCAAGTGCTTAGAGTACTCTATGAAATTACAGAATTGGAGGGAACTTTTTGAAACTGGGCATGAAAGTACTATCAAAAGTGAAGTCAAAGAAATGCTGACAATGTACAAAGTTGGCTCATTCCTGTCTCTACTAGTAGGAGTATTGAGTTTGGATGCTACCTCCAATAGTGAGAAATCTGTACAAGAGATTGTGTTGAATGCTGTTTTAGGAGTAATGCCTGATAGAAGTATTCTCAGCAAACAGTTTTGGATAACCTTATTGAAAAGTGTGGACTTGGACAATATCTCATCAGCCTGTGGGAATTTCAATGAATTTTTTGTAGCATTTTTCAATTTCATAGTTTATTGTGGTAGTATGATGAAAAATGAAGGGGATTCATGGGTGGGTGACCCTAATGTCTGTACTTGTCCAGAAATTAGTTATGGAGATTTATTCATTCATATTAGGAATATTTGGAGGAGGAATGCAGAATCTAAAAATGCTGTTGATGGGAGGTTGCTTCAAGCACAAGAAACTACTGGTTCTCTCATTTGGACCCAAATTATTACTAATATTGGTGAAATGTCCACTGTTTCTCTACATTTGATACCTAAACAAGATTATAAAAAAAATAAATAGTAAAGGACACTATTGTGTGACTCAATCATGTTTTGTGAATTATTTCACAATTTCATTACAAGAACAATAATTAGTATCTGTTGAAATGTTTACTACCATACTCCTATGAATGACCAAATTCATTATGATTCAGTTGCTGGGATTTTTCTAGGGATTTTTTATTTTGATACTTAAGTTGAAATAAATCAAATCCAACTTGTTTTCCAGTATTTTATTATTCATTAATCTTGTGCAAGAATTAATGTATATTTATAGTCCATTTCAGAACTCATTTGCACCAGGAAGTTTTTCCAAAATAAAATTTCTGTTGACCATTATTGAATTTTACCTTACTCCTCTCTGTTGCCACATCATTTTCAAACTTGTGAATACATCTTGAGATTTGTTTTCATTTTCTTTAATCCACTAGTGAAAAAATGTGGAATCCTGATTTTACATCATAAATACAAGATTGAAATATAAATGTGACATTTCAAAAATATGTTAGCTCATTTAGCATTTGAAAAAGACATTTCTTAGTCCTCTCAAGTTGGAAAAAGATAGTGAGACTCAATAGTTGATTTCCTTTTTAGTTTAAGTGTACCAGATGTAACTCCTTTTACTGCTGTGCTAAAATTTGCTGCAGAGGAATTCAAGGTCCCCTCTGCAACATCTGCCATCATCACTGATGATGGTATTGGGATCAATCCACAACAAAATGCTGGTGAGTTTTCATCATTCTTTTTCATAAGTGTAGATAATAATTTTATTTGAATTGGGGCAGGTTGTGGAATAGTTTTAACTGTGATTTTGATTCTAGGAACTGTATTTCTGAAACATGGCTCAGAATTGAGGCTCATTCCAAGGGATAGGGTAGGATTCTGTTGTTGACTTCTTGTGTTGTATACTTTAAATTGATTTATTTTATATACATTCATTGCAAATATATTTACATTCTGAAATTTTTATATTTTTGAGTTTATTTCATTTCACCACTATATTGGATGATCTTTCAGGTACAATTATTTATAGGAATGAAAAACTTCTTTGTATTACATAAAATACTTTATTATTAAAGTAAAATTAAGTACAGGGACAAGGTAAACACTAGAATTAGTCAAGGATCTGAGTTGAAATATGTAACAACAGAGTGTATCTATCCATAATTCCAAAACCCAAATTAAAATTATCACAGAATCATTTTTTGTATACCAAAAAATACACTCCCAAAATGATATTATGAATAATATCATTAGGCCTAAAAACAGTTTCTGAAATACAAATAAAATATACATACCTATATATAATTATCAGATTAGTAAATTTTTTGTACCAAATATGTAACAATAAATAATAACAATACAGACCACATTCTAGGAGTAATACCCATCTAAATTTCAGTAAAAAACTCTTATGTCCAATAATATCAATATATAAAATTCCTAGATGGTTACATAGGTAGCTTGCTATAACATGTGTAAAATGATGAGTCTATGTGTATATAAAAATGTCATGAAACATTATAAAATCCACCTATCAAAAATAGGGCTTCTAAACCATATATGGATTGTTCACTGATAATATCAACACTCATGTAGAAACAATTCTTCACATTCCGGATTCAGCTATGCCTTCATCATCTAAACAAAAAACAAATCGTGTTAGCAGGGATGGGAAGAAATTACGTTTCTCGGCAGCTGCCTCTGAAGTGTCATTTCTAATACTGAAATCATGTATTTGAGCTTCACTCCAGATCCTATAATTCAAAGTGCTGTCCAGAAAGTTTAATTTGTTCATCATCGGTGAAAAGGAACTGATGTTTCTGTGCATAAGATTTTACAGCGTCTCGCATACTCATAATGTAAAGTATGCTTTTCAAACAAAGAACTACTTTCATTCCTAATGAACCAATGTATTGTTTTCAACACATGAATTCTTGATTTCTTCATATTAGAATTTGAACTAAATCTCTTATTGTGTATTATTAATTTCTTCATATAGTTAGATTCTTCCATGGGCGCCAGCAGCAGGGTGCAAGGGGGTGCACTTTCAACCCCCTGCCGGGAAGAACATACCTATATATACAGGGCTAGATTTATTAATGTGAACCCCCCTTCATCTTCTTTGTTCTCTATCCATTCAAGAAGATTGAAACCTGATTTTTTTAACGATATTTCATATTGATTTCAATCATATTGAGAGAGTGTTGCAATATCTCTTCAATTATACAGGGAATACAGAAATATATAGATTTTTTTATATGGAATGCACTGTATATTTTAATAGATTGATATCCTTCTATATATTTGTTTGGAATCAGGATGATTTGGAGAATTCAAATTTATCAAAATATACAAGGCGTTTCATTTGAAAAATATATATTTTCTTGTATACCCTCAACATTTTAATAGATTGTGAATCATTGTCAAAATGTGTGAAATCTGTGTGAAAAATTGTATGAAATCAGTTTCGAAATTATTTGAATGGGTGGAAAACAAAAAAGATAGAGGGGGGTTAACATTAATAAAACTAGCCCTGTATATAGGAAATATCGAGATTTGAAGAATCTATAGGTTGCTGTCCAAACTAGTTATAATTATGTATGTATAATTATAAAATTATTGATATTAGGTAAAAGCAATGACTGGGTAAAAGTATAGAGTGTAGATGCAGATGCACCACCCTGAAATTAACCCTGTCGGCGGCCATGGATACATCTTTATTGAAATAGGATATCCTAATATACATCAAATAAGTTGAAAAATATATAGGGTGGCCCACATTTTGTTGTCCCACTATATTGCTATCTCTGAAACAGTTAGAGATAGAAAATTGGTTGTATCAAACAAAAGTTGCACATTTCAGGGTACATAATAGTTATTTATGTAATAAGGATCATAAAGACGATCGTTATGGATTATGGTACAAGTCGTGAATGTTATCGGGCGAGGCGTAGCCGAGTCCGATAACACGGCGTGTGCCATAATGATTGTTTATGATTCGTATTACATACAAAATTTTATCTGATGGCATTTATATCAATACATTTTCGAAAAATTAAAAACTGCATTTTCGACATGTCACACTAACTATTTTTAAAGGAGTAAGTATTGTGTAGTTTCAAATATTAGTAGGTGAGTGAGCTGTGCTTTGCCATTATATTAATATTACAAATTGTAGTAATTGTTCTTTTACCATTTATAATAAATAGTTTTGTACATAGTTATGCAATTTGAATAAACTTTTTTGATCAAACCATTACATGTTTTCCTTATAGAATTTCATTATGGTACTTAGTCCCATAATGAGCTTCCTTATGTCATCAAAATTGAGTGACATAACGTTGTCATTATGACATGCCATCAGATAAAGATTATTATGTCTTTGTCTATGTCTTATTTATTTATTGACTTATTGTATTATTTTATTGTAGATTTAACTGTAATGAAGAGCACTGTCGTGCTCATAAAGTTTGATAAATGTGGAGAAATCAAAGATCATGAGCCGTTCCCGAGCTAATTTTCGCTCATATCTTTGACTTATTCTTCACTTAATCCTTTTACTTCCCCAAAATGGGCCACTTTTGTTCCATTCAACCAACTCTTTTCTATCTCTACCCGTTTTAGAGATAGCAATATAGTGGGACAATTACGAAATGTGGGCCACCCTGTATACATTACTAAGGAAATATTTCAGATATGAATGCAAACCAATGATCCAAAACAATGACATAATTAAAACACATCAAAATCAATAATTGTGTGCAGTTTCATATGTTGAATCACGTTTAAGTTGAAATATGTTGAAAAATTATGACTTTATAGCTATGAAGAAAGAGTATGATATTCACGTAGGAAGTATATTGGAGAATGGAAGAATTGTGAAAATAAAATGGCAATTCTGCCAGTGGCGTAGAATTTGGGAAGGATCAACCGCAGTCACTTTCCCCTGACGAACGCCATCTGGTAGCCAGAACATTTACATTACATAATTTAGTAGGGTGTTAAGTTTCTACACTTTCCACCACATATCTCAATAAGACGTCAATTAGTTTCAAAGTACTAGACATAAAATAATTTTCTAATTTTCAAATGAAACACCGTAACTCAGGCAGATGATACATTGTATCTTGGTGATTTAGGTTGAATCTGCATTTTGAGCTCAGGATTCTATAATTGAAATATTTCCAATTAGTAATGAAATACCCTGTATAAAGAAGAGTATAGGTTAAAAAGGTATGTTGGTTCATATTATATTGAAATTATAGAAAATATATGACAAACATTGGATGAATATACAATAATAATCATAAGATTATGTACCAGTCATGCTTCCAAAACCATGCAGTAGATATATCATTCTAGCGTGTGAGTGTGAAACTAGCCACATCCATAAATGTACACTGAGACAACGAAGTAGGGTGACCAGATTTAGAAAATGGAACAAGAGTACATTCGAGTATTAAGTATCAAAATAAATGAAAAAAAGCGCCGCAGGCGATTTTTGTTTTCATTATTCAAGGTAAATGTCTTCAAATTGGGAATTGGATTTTCTCCTACCTTCGAAACAACTGCCTATTTTTACCAATATCATCAGTCAAAAATGGAAATAAAAAACATATTATTTATATTGATATACGGAACTAAACAGGTACAAATCAAGTATAGTTAGTACGCTTCAATGCATACATGATGAACACACAGGGTATAGAGCCAGAGCCATCAGAGCCGTAGACAATTATGGACAATTAGACATAGAGCCGAAAGCACAAAAACTTGAATTATTTTAAGAATCAAAGCACTTCGGATGATATCGGTTTGCGAGTGATGAAACATTTCTCATTCCTTTCCTTATCCCTTTTCAGTTTGCTCATATTCCTTATTCTCCTATAACAAATCTTTACTATAAACCGTCAAAACAGGTCATCCAAAAAAGAGCCTATAATTTACCTCTTAAATGAAAAAAAGAGTACTTTATAACGTCTGGTCCCCTACAAAAGGAAGTGCTAAAGGCTATCATTTCAAGAAAAAAATCTATCACCCTAATCAGAATAGGTACACCTTTCGGGAAGCGAAATAATTTTCTTGAAGAAAGCAGAAATCGATTGCCCTAATGGGACACCTTTTGTTTATAGTCTTTAGACAGCAGAAACCAATTGCCTCAGTCAGCATACTATAGGACTAGGACAATCGATTTCTGCTTGTTACAAAACATAACATCTTCATTTAAGCAGGAAGCTATTGTTTTTTTCTTCAAATTTATCCCTTTTAGCACCTCATCCCCTACGGCCTGGCAAAATATTACGGTAAGTACCCAAGGTTACTAGATATGTACAGGGTGATTCACCATAAATGTCCCCCCCTCTAGCTCACTTATTTTTTAACCGATTTGAAAATTTGAAAAATCATCTAAAATGATTTTCCAGAATTTTTTTCCCGTTGCATCAGAAAATTCACGGTGCTCGGAACAAACGATCTACAGAGTACTACTTGATTTTTTCAAACATAACACCCTGTATTTCATTGTATTTTTAGATTCTCCCTGAAGAGCTGATTTCATCAATGTATCACACTTGGGGTCTAGCGGAAATGATTACAGAGATATAGGGTGTTCAAAATCGAGATTTTTTTACTTTAGTATTATGGTATTATTTTGTGTCGAAACTATTCATTATTGGTCAAAACGGTTTTAATGTCCCTATATCAACTTTTGATTTACTATCTACTCTGACATTTAATTGGAACATATACAGTGCGATGTGGTTCAAGATTCAGAATTCTGATCACCCTGTATCTATTCCAATTATTAAATGTCAGTAGATAGTAACTCAAAAGTTAAGATACGGACATGAAAGCCGATTTGACCGATAATGAATAGTTTCGACACAAACATTTCCTAAAATTGAAAAATCTCGATTTTGAACACCCCATATATCTCTGATGCAATCATTTTCGCTAGACCCCAAGTAAGATACATCGATGAAATCAGCTCTTCATGGAGAATCTAAAAATACAATGAAAAATAGGGTGTTCCATTTAAAAAAATCAAATAGTACCCTATAGATCGTTTGTTCCGAGCACCTTGTATTTTCTGATGTAGCGGAAAAAAACTCTATCGAAACTCATTTTAGATGATATTTAAAATTTTGCAATCGGTTAAAAAATAACTGAGCTAGAGGGGGGGGGGGGGGGTATTTATGGTGAATCACCCTGTACCTACTGATCGTGATTCCGACTAGTATAGGGCAATTGATTTGTACTCAACAGAAAAGTCAACAATTTTCTTTCAAATAAGTTCCTGGTTGTTATCCGAAAACATATATTTTTCTTAGTGCATATTTCTGGATGTTGCTATATTTTCACACCTGAATACATTCAAGCACTTCAGAATTCCTTCATGCTCTAAAAAAGCCAAAAGCAGGTTGTTTTGATGTCTGAGAGACGACGTTTCAGGTGTTTTCAGAATCAAAGGTTGTATCTTTTACTATTACATTATCATTGATACTCTTATTCTTCACTGGATCAAACTGGATAAACCAAACGAGCGAGTTATTGTGTAAATATGAGGTATTATTCATTTGAAGAATCAGTTTGAACTGGAAATAAACCTCAAGTCAAAATGTATATCTTCTGATCTGTAAATACACTGGATGAGGCAGAAAATCACTAGAAAAAAGAATGACGGAGCTTGAGTTATTTAATCAGTGGTACCGTATTCACAGAAAAATCGCAGTTCATTTCAAAATTTCATGTACTGACTTGTTGGATAAAGAATTTTGTGATATTTAAATATCATAAAAAACTGGAAACTTGTTATTTTTATAGACCTTTAATCGCAGTTTCTTGATTTTGTTTTTTCAATTCAGAATTTTTTTCCATGTCCTGTATGATGAATATCAATTTGTTATACATCCAAAAACAATAGTATAAATGTATAATTAATTTGCATTGTATTAGTCAGGGTGTGTCATGACTGTATTATTTGAATTTGAAAGGTTGAAAATCTGGTAGGTATTGAATAATATTGAATAATCTGTTATTACTTTCTACATGAAAATATTATATGTATAGAGGGAATACTAATTTTTTCAGCAAAATTGCTTTTGCCAACTCTACACTCCATACTGTAAGAAAGAGGTCAATTCTTAGTGAGAAAAGTGCAATATCTATATAATTATTATATACCTTTACATGAATTCAAATCTATACACGATTTCAAATACCATCCATGAAATCATCAATCTTCGGTCTGAAGAACCTTATTGTTTTTATCGAAATCAGAGTAGGAAGAGCATCATATGTATACCACACCCTATTTCTTTACTTTTAAGTTGCAAAGTCCACAAGATCCACGCACTTGCGTCAAAACGTCGATGTGTCGATAAATCTAAAACGTCAAAAAATTATTGTCACGCATATTAGACGTTTTCGTGTAGTTTTTTCGATGTTTCGACTTGCGAGTCGTTTTAGTTTCGGTTAAAACTTTCCAGACGTTTGCTACAAAAAATTTGAGGGGTGGGGGTAGTCTATACCGATCCTCTTCCTACTCATCAGAGAATATATTTTATGGAACGATTTTGTGTTACCCTCATGAGTTGCGAAAACACAGAACAGTTATTACAAGGAAAACTGTTTTCACAGCAATTTTTTTAATTGATGAACGACACCAAATATGGCCTCACCTCATAAAATAGTGGCAGTTAAGTTTTTAGAGTGTCTAAAAGCTGTCCAGGCGAAATTGAATTCTAAGTAGGTTTCTAGCATTGGATTTTCATGCACATGGGGAAGTTTCCAATATTGTGGTTTTTATCTCACTGTGGAGCTTGTAAAAAAAATATTATACAGAGTGAGTCATGAGTAACTGTACATATTATACTCCAACCACGAATAGAAGCCCCCGAGGGGAATACCTAATGACGGCCACAAACAAACATCAACAATAAAATATCCAAAATTTTTCACACACTTTCACAGAATTTTTGAAAAATGTTCAATTTCAAGAAAATTATGGCGCCAAAGTCATTTATTTGGAAATAAATATTTCGCAACGCATAAATATCACGAATGAAAGTAAGACTTACATTTTCAATGCCTTAGCTCAACGGATATAAACATGTTCTTTTATTTCCGAGCCTGGATCCTGGTTTCCTCCTTCATTTTTTTTGTGGAGGGTAATATATATAATTATATACCCTGTAGGTATTCTTCGAATCTGTGGATTCGGTATCTGTATGAATATTAATGGCCAACGATTTGAAGGATTCTAGATAGTCGAACAGAAAATGGGGGTTTATTCACAATTCACAAAGGAGTATAATATAGGTAATAGGCAATTTCACTATGATTGAAAATAGCCCTTTTTATATGGCGAACGGTCTCATACATGATTCAGTATATCAAATAGCACCTCCTCTAATCTCTTGATTCCTTTACAACCTTTCAATTAATCTTCAAAAGTGCTACAAATTGAGAGAGTTCCAAACGACCATTTTTCGCGGTGTGACGTCACTTGTATTTTCTGGAGGCTCCCTCTGACGACCCAAAGAGGATGCGTTGTACAAAAACACAGACACAGAACTCGAGCACAGAGTGGTTGGGTGATCTGTGACTTGAGAGAAAAATGTCTGCGAAGCAAACTATAGAAGAAGAAAAAGATTAAAATTTTCAGTGATCTCTCTCTCTCTCAGTGTCATATTATAGTTTTTATCGAGTGACAGATACAATGACAAATGGTGACGAGACCAAGTGACAAGACGAATTACCTAATGAGAATGTCCGTCCGAAGTGTATGACGCGGTGTGACGCACCTTGTATTCGTCCAATGAAATGCCATCAATATTTCGCACGCATTCGAGCTATCGTTTGAATTAAGGTTCAATTTAATAATTTTTCTCTGGTCAACCGCAATCGTGAGAAAATTGGAAAAATGCTGAATTCACCCAGTATGTGTTCTAAATCGTGAAAAAAAATTCAAAAAATCATGGTGGAATTCCCTCTATCATTCTGTACTTCGAATAAGTGACCAAAATAACTGAATAAAACAAATCGAATAGAAAAATCTGAGAACTAATGATCATAGAATTATTCAAATCGATGGCAATTAACATTCATACAGATACACCCCATCCACTGATTCGAAAAAGATGTACAGTCGGTGATTATTATTTAGTATACTTCCACAAAAAATTGAATGACGAAATCCAGGCTTAGAAATAGAATAACATATGTTGATTTCCATTAAGTTAAAATGTAAGTCTTACTTTCGTTCGTGAAATTTATGCGTTGCGAAGTTGGTAATTATTTTCAAATAGATGAATTTGTTGCAATATTTCATGTTTTTTAAAATTCTGTGAAAGTGTTAGAACAATTTTGGATATTTAATTTCTGATGTTTATTATTTACTAGCAAAATTTTTCCCTGTATCAGTAGTGGACATAATTGCCAGCATCATATGTCTATATTTCATAACAACAATATGGGATATACATAATCGGTTTCTTAATCCTACTTCGTCTAGTATATTATGAATCATTTTCATAAATCTCATTTGCTGTATGAAGTTGATTACTAATATGGATAAATTATGATATTTTTCAATAGTATTTACAGATTTTTCACTTTCGTTGTACTACAAAATCAATTCGTTCCTTTATAAAACCGATCTATTTTCTAGGAAAGTTACAGATTATCTTTTGCAATAGCGCATAATACTTTGAGCCCTTGCACACTACACAAATTACCGACAGGCAGACCAAGAGCTGATCTGATTCTGTGGTTATGTATGTTCTTGTTCACCAGTTTTACTTGTGCCAATTTTTGATCTGCAGTTATTCTGTACGTACAACGTGGACATAAAACTGAGGATTTCTGAACTTATTTGATGAAAATTCATCTGACGGAAACTTCCCCATTCATCCTGTTGATTATTCATGCGTTTTTATTGTTTCAAAATCTACCAATTGGGAAGCATAAAGCAGTAGAGTTGTAAGAGAGAGAAGTCTACCTCAGTTTTTCCTCTGGCGGGAAATCGGAGGCGACCACAGCACCGACACCTTTGCCTGCACCACAGAATAGCAGCTTTTTACAACGCCTTATAAACGCAGATACCATTTCTGGTGAAGCATAAAAATGGAATATCCAACTTGGCGGAAAGTGACCAGTTATTGTTAGTACAAGGGTTTTTTGTTGTGAGGGATCAAACATCATATGTACAGTGTGTCCAGTCTTCGATGCATTTGCGTGATATCTCAGTTATATTTGCGAGTTATTTACCAGATCGAACAAAGCCAGTATTTTTCCATCATGCTGGAAGATATCAAGAGTCCAACCAATCCTCCAAAAAAGGGAACAAAAACCTGCCCAACAACTATAGGCCTATTGCCCTGTTATCAGTAATCTCAGAAAGCCATCAACATTGAACTTAACAGTGAGTTTGGAGCATTTCTGAAAATTTTATTTTCATACATTATAAATCATTTTGAAAGGAAAAAATATCATGATCTGTGATAAAAGTCCATGGTATATCAAAGTGGAGTGAATAGATTCATGAAAAAGACACACTAAGTCATCTCCACAAATTTATTAACTGAATAATCAGTGTCTGAACATGTTTCGGACTATCAAGAGTCCATCATCAGCAGAAAGGCAACAATAATATTAATAGTACAATTTACATTATTAAAAATAAATAATGAAGGGCAAATTGCCCATGGCCCAAAGGGGGCTTTATGGAGGATCCCAACACTTGTTCATCCAATTGATCAAAGATAGAATTCTATAATGTAAATTGTACTATTAATACACACACTGGCACAATTAGGGGAACGGGTAAAATTTACACTAAGTTTTTGACATCAATTTTCTCTCGAACCGATCACTCGATTCAAATTTGTTTTTCACGAATTGTAGCTTCATTCTTCACGAATACATCTGAGATATAACCACCTCCAAACGATTCGTCATTATATCATATACAGGGGTGTAAAGAAAGTACGGATTTTTCGGTATTCTTTAAGACATCCTGTGGAGTGAACCACTGATAATTGAACCGATTTTCCAACACCAAATTATAGCCCAATCTATCCCGAATATTTTCGTTTTTTATTCATCTTGATATCCCAATTATCCGAGAAAATATAGAGTTTCAAAGAAGCGGTGGATATTGGTATTAAGTTTATCACCTCGAAACTCGAACTGGGGACAACGTGTCGTTTTTCAACTTGTTTCTGTGAGGATTTTTACTTCAAGATGAGAATTGTTCACAGTTTTACCTATCGGTTTACTGTTTAAAGACACATAACGAATACTCTCATGAATATGCAGGGGTGATAAAAGTTGCTCCAATGTTTTTTTGGTGAAATGCTATTTTGTTAATCAACGTAGGCTCTTTTGTTAATGTCATTAATTATTTGTCAATGTCAAGCGATTCACAATTCATAAATTTGATCAATGAAAATTCAACGTGAGAGATTTGACTCCTACTGATGTGGCGAGGGCTGTAGCATTAATTGAAAATGACCAGTGGGCCAATGTTCTTTTAACATATATTATGAGAGCCGCATCTGCACCAATTCAATAGATGGCAGGGAAAGACTATATCGCCAAAATGAACAATTTGATTTCACTGCTTCTGTCTCCTATGGTAGAGGTTTAGTCATGGTAAGGTTAGGTTAGTCAAGAAACAACACATTTTCAGATCCAATTCGAGTTTTGAGGTGTAAAAGTGATACCAATATCCACCTTCCCTTTGGAACTCTGTATTTTCTTGAATAATTGAGATATCAAGATGAATAAAAAACGAAAATATCCGGAATAGATTGGGCTCCAATTTGGTGTTGAGAAATCGCTTCAATTATCAGTGGTTCAGTCCACAGGATGTCTAAAAAAATACCGAAAAATCCGTACTTTCTTTACACCCCTGTATATGATGGAAAGACTAATCTTTTAAAGGTAATTATTTCTCAGATGTATTCGTGAAGAATGAAGCTACATTTCGTGAAGAAAAAAAAATTTAATCGAGCGATCGGTTCGAAAGAAAACTGGTGTCAAACTTAGTGTAAATTTTGCCCGTTCCCCTAATTGTGACAGTGTGTGCATTATTGTTGCCTTTCTTTTTTTCACTTCCACAAATTGTCATTCAAAATATGCATCTGCTGATGATGGACTATTGATAGTCCGAAACATGTTAAGACACTGATTATTCAGTTAATAAATTTGTGGAGATGACTTAGTGTGTCTTGTTTATGAAAAATATCATGAGTTTGAGTCGTATTTAAAAAACCATACCATGAAAAAAAATTGAGTGCGCCACGGGAATCTGCGTAAAATTCTCTATTGGATAAGATTTTAATTTGACATTTTTCTGAGAAACTTCGTCGATATAGAGTGGGCCCAAAAAGAATAATTTTTCAAAATCGTCCTATATCTCATAAACGGAAACAGTTATGCAAAATCTGATTATGCCATCATGTGTTTCACAAAAAAGTGGCACATTCCCCTCGAAAACCGCAAGGTTTTATCTCCAAAGATAACTGAGATATCACGCAAAATCATCGAAAAAATGGATACACTGTACCCGTTCTTTCATATATTTATCACCCCTATATACCTACAGAATTTATTAGAATAAAAAGAAATAATTGAAGCAGAAACTTGTGGGTTTTTGGCATTATCTTCGATGGTAAACGATAAATAGGGATCAGAAAGTTGATAATATGTATTTCGATGAAACTGTATAATAAGATTTCCACAAAATTCAATGACACAAAAATGATAATATAGTTGAAAGAAATTCATGTAAATATCACATAGAAAACACATTCAACAATGGCAAATTGTTTAGGTCTATATAGTCAAAAAGTAGAAATTAAAAATGATTCAGTTTGTTGATATCAAACCTCTCTGAGTTTATTTTTTCGATGTTATCATCAGATCTTTGATTTTTGTGAATGTTAAATATGTTTACCTGGTAACAACCGTTTTCAACACTTTTAGTGGATTCTGCAAAAAATGATTCAAATGGAACCATATTGGCAATATTGTAGATCATACACCTACAACTCACCCGAATTGAAAATTGAATCAGAGGGTAAATATGTTGAGTGGTAGTAGTAGTAGTAGTAGTAATATAGTAGTAGTAGTAGTAGTAGTAGTAAAAAGTCACCGATCTAGTATCACACTACACTGTTCTACCAAAAAATGCTCAAGGTTCCAGTCTTTGGATAACAGAGTGTGGATCAGCCATGCAAATGGTATAAACTCAAAATTCCCCCAAAGAAAAATATCTCGAATAATACAAAATCACGTAGATTTGATTATCTGAATGCACAATTTTCAATAATAATAATAATAATAAACAAGGTCAATGTTCATAAAAAAATTGATGACGGCACATCAAAAAGTAGGATTTAACCTCTGTCTATGCAAAATACATATGAACATATGTTTCTTTTCCATCCAATCATACATCCTATCCTGATATACATTTTAGAATGATCCTCATTCATGTAAAACTAGTATCCTCATTTCTTGTTGAATGGGCCCCCCTTTATATAATTCTATATTTAGTCTCAATAAGAATTTGATGTTACTGGGGTTTGATGGGTGTACGTGAAACGACTATGAAGATATGAAGAGCTAATAATCTGTTTCATTTGCCACAATAGTTGTCAATACCATAATAACTTGTTCTTAACAATAAAGAACCTGTAAATTTGGAAGATTATTTTTTTCACTCGTCAAAATCTGACGTTATCGTTGCTTCAACCAATAGCAATACTTTATTCCAATTATTCGGTATTATACGGATAACAATGCATGGTCCTTGATAAAAAAAGTAAAGACTCAACTGCTTCAATTCTCTTATTATAATACGTATGCTTGATGATTGTATGAATAATTTGATTATCACTGGAATGAATAATAATTATCACTGGACTGTATAAAAACTATTAATTCTATGAACAATAATATTCCTATAGGTTATAGTTCGAAACTAGTTTGACTCACCTGCGTCTATAATCTTCTCATTCATATATTTGTGTTGATTGCATCAATATAATAATGATTATGAATACTGGGCTGAATAAAAACAAAACTTATTCCTTTCATAAACAATAACATTCTCAGGTTATAGTTCAGTAATCTTTCTTCAAATCGGTGAAAAAAATAATCTTCCCAAATAATACAGGGCTAGACAAAATGATCTCCCACATTTTGCACCGTCACTGTACCAGAATTTCTGAACAGAGACAGAGCTTGGCTTAGTCGGTTTGTAGCTCGCGTCTTGCCATTTCAGTTATCATCATGAATTGGATGAGACGCAAAGAACTTTTCGTACTCACTTCGCTTATGGTAGAGTCCGACCACGTTAACTATATGCATATTCAATGCATACGCGACCACGTGCTGTCCCAACAAAGATCAAAAATCATCTCACATACAGTCAATCAGACACGATCCGACAACAAAAAACCCTCGACAACCACCCCCCCACTACCAAAAAACCCCACTCACCTTCGAACCCTTGATTGTCGTGTATCTCCCTGGTGGAGGAGCTCAGATCTTTGCCCTCCAGCACGGCCAACAGGCACTGGTGGATGCAGATGTACTGCTGCTCGGTCTGCACCATCCAAACGCGCTCTTTGCGCATGGCGTAGACGATGCCGAATATGTCCACGTAGTCGCAAACGAGGATTTGCTGGAGGATCCTGTCCAGGCAGATGAAGGTGCCCGATCTACCGACTCCCGCACTGAAATAGTTATTTATGTACCAAGGACGAAAACCGGTATATTATAGTCGAGCCTGCAAATTGATAGCCGAGGCTAGCAAAGCAAACCATCTGTTGGTTATAGGTCCCATATAATGCTGCCGTATTCCAACCATGAGCGCACTATGGAGTATTTACTCCTCTTCAAGGCGTAAAGCGTGTTTTCACTACCAAGGCAGTTTTCATGATTTCATGAACCACTATAGCCAATAAAGATATAGCCACCTCTGTAAATTAACCCGAATTCACTTTTCTATAGATTTGAATTAAATTGAAAAGAAGTGCTATCATAGTGATAATTCGCAGTCAGATTATTTAGATGATGAAACGAAAATATCAAATATCTAAACCTAACATCAGGTGGGCACTTCGAAAGCGCAGATTCATTACGGCATGGGAGATACTCTTTAGATTTTTAGCTATTGAGTGATTTGACCATCACGAACGACATTCCGGAAACGGCAGCCATTTGGAGGTCTATTGTCGTCACTTTATTTGAAATCTACTCACTCTATTCAAGGTCATCTGGCATTGCGATGACGTGAAAAATTCTGGAAAACATGTATACATTTCAATATAAGCCAGGAATTAACTCCCGTAGTTTTCATGTCAGCTGATGACCTTGACTACCGCGAATAGGTCCATATTTCAGTTTCACAAAACTAGTGCTAGTGGCTAGTGGTGAAAATAAATCAATACTATATACACCTTGGAAGCAAATAGTAATATTACCACGGGACCTTATACCCCTCGGCTGAAGCCTCTGGATATAATCTTGGTCCCTGGTTAATAAAGATATACTTTATACTACCTTGGTGTATAAAAAACTATATTACCTGCAATGCACGACGATAGGCCTCTGATCAGGAGGCACTCTCTCTCGGAAAGCTCTGACGAACCTGACCAAAGTGTGAGGTGGGTTTGGAACCCCAAAGTCTGGCCAAGTCGTGAAGTGGAAGTGCCTGACCACCCTCTGAGTCTCACCCTACAAAAAACCGTTAGTTATTCATTTGATGATGATGATTATTGACCTGTGATTATATTTTGGTCATTAATAGTCGTACTTTTTTACGCCCTGGCTATTCTTGATTGTTAATGTATCTATATGAATGAGTAAGGTGTGTTTACCGGTTGATTGTTATGTCAAAAAGTTTTATTCAATTACTAGTCAACCGCTGAACAAAAAAAGAGAATATTGAACTGTTGTGCCACAAGTGATCGAATTTTCGTATGTAATACAACAATTAAGTGGATGATATCGATCATACTTCAGTTTTTCCTCTATTAAGGGGTAGAAGACGAGGTAAAGATTGGAAATTCCAGAACGGACTCCGTCTTTCTCATTAAATATCTCCACCTCGCTCGTTCGATAGGCGCATCTTATTTACCGCGAAGAAGACATACGAGGGGATGTCCAAGATTATTCAAGAGCGAAATATATAAAAGTGAAGGGTTTTTAGATGCTGTGAGATAAATTGCCGTGAATTTTCGAAGCTGCTCTTCTGTATGATAGTTAGAAGGGTCATTTTATAGCATGAATGCGAAACTGCTGTTTTTTTTTCACGATGATTTCATCAAAATTCTCTTGATCAATTCACCATATTTCTCGACTTTTGAGTGAAATAGGAATTTCCACAAGGATACAAGGATTATATTGTTATTGAATATATCCATCAGTTTGCACATTGACCGATATGGGGAAATGCTATTAGAAACTATAGGACGAATTTGATATGCAGGGCGATTCATGAAGAGACTCACATAGCCAAATGGCGAATAGAGGAAAACGAAACAAGTTGAGATTCCATATATGAAAGATTCTGTTGACCTTCAATAACGAAGATATTATGTGAAATTGCCATATATAATTTCAATGGCCGACATTTCAGATATGATTCATCCCAATTAGGCAGCGAGGTTTCATTATTGAAGATGGCATATTATAAAAAAATCCAGATCCGAAAAATATTCTCTTGTTATATAGAAAAAGCTCATTTTGTGCTCAGTTTTCTAGAAAAATTTCATTAGATTCAGGAAGATCAGACATGATGCCATAAAAACTGCACTTCAATTTGCACGACACACTTTTCATCATTTGACGTGACGTGACATCTGTTGATAATCCGAAAAGATGGGTACTGGTGAAGATTTTCATAAGTATTATTAGGATGTTCTGAATATTCGAGATAATTCTGTCGCTTCCTTGTTCACGAAAGTGTGCTGCTGGGCAACACCACAACGAGTGGTATTTCAAGACAATTGAGTTAACAATGAAAGACAGAATCATGAGAACATATTCAGAACGGAGTTGGTATTTGGTAGACTATTTCACGTTCACGAAGCATAAAAAGAATTTCTTATAAATGAGCTATTCATATTCTGACGACAGATATGATTATTTGGTGGTGGCTGATCAACGGGAACTCGCGAATAAATACTGTGCCATCAGTCACTATAGATAGGCAACCCACATTAGTCGGGGTTTGACAACACTGTAATACGTAGAGTTAGTTGATCTTATGGCGTCGATCCGACTAGGAGGACTTGTAAGCATCTTGTAAGCAGTTAGTGAATAAACGGTCTAAACAAAAAACCTAACAGTAATTATTAATGGAGTTATTCACTGATGCGACATGGTGGCAGCGGTGCCTTACGCGAAATGAAAAGTCGTCGTAAGTGAGTGATCGGGCCCCGTTTTCCAACTTTTGCGAAAGTTAACCTCAAAATAGTGAACGGAAAAAATACCGCGGTATTCGAGAATCTGAAAGAAGCGGCCTTAGATCCGGCAGTCAACGAAGATGTCGTCACCGACAGCAAACAATAATGCGATGGCCGAGATATTTGCGAATGTTCAGGCGCCTTCAGAATTCAATTTCACACAGCCACAGCAGTGGCCACAATGGAAAAAGCGTTTTGAACGCTATATGTCCGTCAGTGGTTTCAGTAAGAAAACTGACAAGGAAAAAGTCGATATGCTGGTGTACTTGATGGGCAATGAGGCTGAAGAGATTCTGCTACAACAAAACTTCGCCAGTGAGGATACCTATGAGCAAGTACTGAAAAAACTTGATCTATATTTCATCCCACAGAGGAATATCATATTTGAAAGATATCAATTCAACTCCAGAGTTCAAAGACCAGGTGAGCCTGTAGAGAACTTCATAACAAACCTGCATGCATTAGCAGAGTACTGTGACTATGGTACCCTGAAGGAGGAACTGATTCGTGACCGGATAGTCATAGGAGTGGCTGATAGTAAAGTCAGTGAACGACTGCAATTGAGGGATAAATTAACACGGGCTGAAGCAATAACAGCAGTAAGACAAGCTGAGTTACAAAATACACAGAATAAAATTATTCGCCAAGAACAGTCAGTTAATGCAGTAAAACAATTTAGTGTAAATAAGAAAAAGTTTCAAAATAAAACTAAGGACAGACAGTTTTCATCTACAGAAAATGTGAAGAAATGTGCATACTGCGGTATACATACATGTGAAGACAGAGAAAAATGTCCAGCGAAAACATCCATTTGTCGTTCATGTGGAAAACGTGGACATTGGAGTGCAATGTGTAGAGGTGTCAAAAAATCTGTTCATGCAGTTGAATATGAGGACCCTGAAGGTTCTGATAGCAGTTCTGAGGAAGAAATTGAGCGATATGTGTGTCAGGGGGCCAAAGCGAATGTTGATCATTCAAATTTCATTGGTCAGGTATACCTAGATAAGCAGGACCGATGGTATGTAGACATGATACTAGATAACAAGCATAAAATTCCATTTTTTGTTGATACTGGGGCAGATGTGAATTGTTTTCCTTATGAAATGCTACCTAAGGAACTATCAAACATGTTAACACCATGTGATCCTGTGGGAGCAGCAGATGATCACAAATTAGACACGGTTGGGAAAATTAAAATAGACTTTACTTATGAGGGAACCACAAATACAGAGACTGTCTATATAGTTAGGAAGCTGAGGCAACCTATTTTGTGCAGAGATGCTATAATTAGATTCAAGGTTCTAAACTTTCCTAATAAAAATGTTTGTTTGATTAATGATTACAATTTTGACTGTAAGAAAAGTAGTGACAGTTTGTCTAGATTTAGTTTAGACTCTATTTCTAAGGAATTTCCAGGAATTTTTAGTGAAATAGGAGAATTTAAAAATGAAATGTCTATACAGATTAAACCAGACGCTCAGCCGTTTGTACAATCAGTACCCCGGACAGTTCCTATAGCTTTGCTTCCAAAGCTGAGACTAGAATTAGACAGATTACTTAAGTTAGACATAATTGAAACAATTGAGACTCCAACTGCATGGGTGAGTCCGATAGTATGCGTGGACAAGGGCGACACTGTCCGGCTGTGTTGTGACTACACTAAATTGAATGAAAGTGTCCTTCGTTCTCATTTTCCTCTACCAAAAATTGAGCACACTCTGGCACAGCTAAGTGGATCAAAATATTTCTCGAAGCTTGATACAACTAGTGGCTTTTACCAAATTAAGTTGAATAAAGAAAGCCAGCTTTTAACAACATTCATTACACCTTATGGAAGGTTCTTCTTTAAAAGATTGCCCTTTGGTATTTCATGCGCACCTGAGTATTTTGCAATAAATTTTTCAAAAATTTTGACAGGGCTAGAAGGGGTGGTTTATCACATGGATGACATTTTGATACATGCAAGCAGCGTTGAAAAACATGATGAAATTTTACACAAAGTTCTGTCGAAATTAAATGTTGAAGGTATCACCTTGAATCCTATAAAATGTGTCATAGGGGTAAAATCTGTGAAATATTTAGGTCATTTAATTTCAGAGAAGGGCATCTCTGTTGATTCTGACCGAGTTAAAGCAATTAGAGAGTTTCCTATTCCTGACAATAAGACTGATTTAATGCGCCTACTTGGTATGATAAATTTCACAGCTAAATATATTGATAATAAGTCCGAACTTTTAGAACCATTAACATCGCTACTGAAAAAGGATATTGAATTTTTTTGGGGACCACCACAGGACAAGGCTTTTAATACGATTAAATCGATTCTAGAAAAACCACCAAATTTAGCTTTTTTTGATCCTAATAAGACAATTATTGTTAGTGCAGATGCCAGTTCATTTGGACTTGGTTGTTGCCTTTTGCAGGAAAATAAGGATAAATCGCGAGAAATAGTTGCTTTTGGGTCGAGATTATTGAGTCAAGCTGAGATGCGCTATGCGCAAATTGAAAAAGAGGCTCTTGCGCAGACATGGGCGGCAGAATATTTTTCAGATTATATTTCAGGAGTTGAAAATTTAATCTTTGAAACTGACCATAAACCTCTTCTGCAAATTTTACAAACAAAACATTTAGACTGTCTAACGCCCAGGCTGCAGAGGTTTCGAATGCGGCTGATGAGGTATAAATATACAGTTATTTACACACCGGGAAAAAATCTAATTATACCAGATACTTTAAGCCGGAGTCCTATAAAAAATCAGGATCAAAATGATGAGTTACAAGTAGAAGTGGATACCTTTGTTAAGGCAGTTATCAAAAACTTACCAATAAAAAATTATTTTTTGAAATCAATAAAACAAGAGCAAGAAAATGATTTCATTTGTAAGAAACTCAAAGAATATTCTATCATGTCTTGGCCAGAAAAATCTAAATTAGAGCCTGAACTTCTACCATACTATCAGCATAGATACGACATTTCTTTTTCCGAGCAGCTACTGTTGAAAAATACGCGGATAATAATCCCACAAAATTTACAGCTGAAGGTCTTAGAGTACACTCATACCGGCCATTTAGGCATCGTCAAGTGTCGCGAGCGCGCAAAAATGAGTGTCTGGTGGATCGGTTTATCCACACAGATAGAAAACCTTGTAAAAAACTGCCCAAACTGCATCGAAAATCGACAAAATATTAAAGAAACCTTCCATAAAGATAAAATGGTGAGTAGACCTTGGCAGAAGATCGCTGTAGATTTTTTCAAACATGAAAAATGGTACATGATAGTAGTTGACTATTACTCCCGATACTTCGAAATTTTTGAGCTGAGTAACTTGACTGAAGAAGCTATTATTCCAAAAATTAAAGAGTTGTTTGCGAGATACGGAATCCCTGAGGAGGTGAGATCAGATAATGGGACCCAATTTTCTGGGAAATTTAGAGAATTCGCACAAAAGTATGACTTCACCCATGTTACTTGTAGTCCCAAATTTTCTCAGAGTAATGGAGGGGTAGAGAGAGCAGTGCAGACAGCTAAGCGCTTAATCAAAAAGAATAAGGAGGAAGACATATTTTTAGCATTGCTAGCCTACAGGACAAGTCCTTTAGAGCATGGGTTTTCACCATGTGAGCTCCTTATGAATAGAAAATTAAGGTCCACACTTCCTATTCTACCTAGTAAATTAGAAGAAACACTTAACACTAAGTCCCGGTTTTTACAAAGAGAAAAACAGTTGAAAAATAAATTGGAAACAAACTATAATAAACGTCACAATGCTAAAAATATGGACACACTTAATATCGGGGATTCAGTATGGGTTGTAGATATCCGGAAGTATGGTAAAATAATTGAAATTTGTGAAGAACCACGTTCTTACATTGTTGAGACTGATGTAGGTCAATATCGCCGAAATAGATGGCATTTGATCCTTGCACCTTACTATTTTCCTAATACCCAGACAGGAATACCATTATCATTCGATACAAATGTAAGCACTGAGCTACCTCCCACACCGCTATATCATGAGTGTTATGATTTCAACACGAGTCCATCCCGGAAAAACAATGAAAATCCTAATAGCGTTGAGGCAGGTGGTTCAAAAGCTGCTCTGAGTGAGGGTTTAGAGGATAATGTTAGAGCAAGAAATAAAAATGTAGTGCAGGAACAAGAGATAGATATTCCTAATATTGTAACGCCTGGTAGGTCAAAGCGAGCTGTTAAAAAGCCTGCTTATTTAGCTGATTATGTTTAGATAGAATGTAGCTTTTCGATTTATCAATGGGAGATGTGCCATCAGTCACTATAGATCGGCAACCCACATTAGTCGGGGTTTGACAACACTGTAATACGTAGAGTTAGTTGATCTTATGGCGTCGATCCGACTAGGAGGACTTGTAAGCATCTTGTAAGCAGTTAGTGAATAAACGGTCTAAACAAAAAACCTAACAGTAATTATTAATGGAGTTATTCACTGATGCGACTATAGGACGAACATGACGCCGACCGTCACTAAGAGCCGGAGCACACTCACCCTGCACACCATAAACTCGCAGATGTTCCAGTCCTGGTACCGCGACTCGTTCAAGATCTGCACGGAGATGTCGCCGTAGTACACCGGCATGGTGTCGTAGGGCCAGTAGTGGTCGCACTTTTCCCTGCCCTTTTCCACGCAGCGCGTCAGCATGATGATGGCCCGCGAATTCGACTCCCACACCATGCGCCAGAAGTCGTCCCTGGTGGAGTGCAGGGGGCCCTGCGTCACTACGAACTCTCTCGGCGAATTGTAACCCTTGAACCAAATTGATTGATTGTCTTTATTACCCCAAGAAACATAGTTGTTTATAATAGGGATACATAAACAATATACATACTGTTATACATACAATTATGAAATATTAGTTGCGTTTTATTTGTTCCATTCTGGTAACGGTGGTGGGAACAGAATGACGTTTACAAATAAAACGAGAAACTTCATGACCTGGCATGAGAGAATTGACATATTATAGATGATAGAGGTTATATTCATATATTGGGGCTCCGAATTATTTCAATGAGGTTTATTGCATCAATATCATAATAGATTAAAATCAAGAAGATGAAAAAAAATTAATCAATGCATATTTGGAACAGTGATTGAGTTGCTTGGAGAAGGTTCTCTGAAAATGAAGATATGAACCCTGTCCTACTTGAAAGAATCATAAAATGTCTTCTGCTTCAAAAAGTTTCGTTTTTCTTCAATCTAATTACATTTTTTGACAACTGTCAACAGTCATTCCACGTCATTCCTTGTAGTGAGACGGGATGGAAAGTAGCAAACTATAATTAAGATATAACAAGTAAAAAAAAATGCAAATAATCATGCAATATCAACATTATCAACCTTGTCTTTTATAAGTGGGTATTCAAATAAGAAATGGAATTATCAAAGTCTGAAGCAGATATTTTTTCAAGTTAAGAGTGGACAATAGGACTGGAAACATGATGAATACAGCGCTATCGCTCCTGACGCTTCATGGGAAAACAGTTTGGCATATTGTACATTACCAAACGCCATCATATAGACAAAGGTTCAAATTAGGGCGGATACTATGCCATTTTTCAAAACTCGAAAAAAAAAAAAGTTTCAAAAATGTATTTGAATATAGCATTATTAGCTGACGAAAAAAAAAAAAATTTACACTGCTTGTTTAAAATTTTCAGATAGTATCCGCCCTAGAATGAACCTTCAAGGAATGCGTAGATTTGGAATTATATGTGCGAAAACCGACGAAAATAGTAGATTGTTTTATTAGGATCAAAAGTGACACTTTGTTCGACAAGCAAATTATGCATTTGCGAGGCGAAGCGTTTAGCAAAGCCGAGCGAAAGCAAAATTTGCGAATTCGCAATTCTTTCTCGGCTTATTCAACAGAAAACAACTACTTTCCTGGCTATATGCCACGACGAACATTGAATTACATCTATTGAACATACACGATAAGAATTTGAAAACAAAATCAAGATCAGAGTTTATACAAGTATACTTCTCATATACATTTCAATTTTCATTTCAATACTGGACATATTGGTAACATATTTTCAAATCATAATACATCATATTATTTTATCCGATTTGAGAGTTGATGTCAATTCTCAATTTCAGAGGATTTTCATTTTTCATGCTCTCTTTCTGGATGTTCAACAGATATAATTCAATGTACGACGTGGCAAATAGCCAGGAAAGTAGTTGTTTTCTGTTGAATATTCAGAATGATATTATTTCCATAATTATATCTGAGAATATTCCTTTTCAAGCTAAATAATGATGACATCGCTATTTATCTGAGTTAATAGTTAATTATCGATGTTCTCGACTACTAATACAGTCGTTGCATTACAGTACTTGTGACGTCAGTACGGCTGACTATTTTCCGTCACATTCTAATGGGAGCATTTCTTCAGGAATTTATTTTTTAGAAACTAGAAGAATTTAAGAAAATAAAGAAAAAATCTGTGTACTTTTTATCACAGCGATGAACGTCATAATATTTCTGCTAGATTTTTTATGGGAGCTACCCAGCGAGCACAAACATCCCTGGATGTTTTGGGATGTTTTGAAAATGTTGGCATGAAGATGTTATTTTGAGACGTAATATGTCCTGACCAGAGATGTCTTTGAAGGATATTGAAGTATTGTTTTTGTTCTTCTGTGGCATTTCTTTGTTTGCCTACTGAGAGGTATCCCTGGGATGTTTTGGGATGTTTCAGAAATGTAGGCATGAGGATGTTTTTTTGAGGCGTAATATGCACTTCCCAAAGAGGTCTTAGAGGGATATTGAAAGTATTGTTTTTGTTCTTTTGTGTCCTTTCTTTGTTTGCCCCGCCACAACGTACAATGAATTCTGATTTGTTTTCGATTTTGTTCTTCTTGTTCGCAATTGGCATTCGCGTTTGCAGCGTGTCACGCTTACATCACGCTGCTAACGAACAGAAAAGAATTTGGTGAAGTTTATTGTGTTAGAAGACTTATTTTGTTTGTAATAATGACCATCAGATGCAAGATGTGTTGTTCGGGGCCTCAGTGTAATCAATATATAAAAGTACGAATTTATCAATAAACAGCTTCTCCGCAGTTGCAAAATTATGCATTGTGGAGAACATTTCAAAAATTGGGAAACCTATTTCCAATTATATGACTGCACTACTCAGAAACCGATTAAGAAGGTAATTTCATATCAAGAAAATATTTTTATGTTCAATCCATTTTTAATGCATTTTTTCATTCAAGGGAAATGGAATCCTCATGCAAAAGTTCATTTTGACAAAAGGCTTCAGAAAATTACCTCGAAAATAGTTTTTTTACAGCGATTTAATGTGCGCAAGACGCGTTGAAAATGTTTTGTTGTGTCCATGAAAAGGCTTTAAAAAGAACTAGGGAGGAGGTAGTTTTGTGACATATCAAGGACATCTCGATAATTGCCGCCTGCGGCGGACATTGGCTGTTCTATAATAGTTCTATTCATGTGTGAACAGAACATCGCAGTGGAGGTTCAATGTCTCGAAATCTCGTACTTTTAACATCTCTGAGATGTTTTTGTGCTCGCTGGGTAGTAAGTACTTGCTTATAAGAGCAAGACATTAGATTTTTCGATTCATATAAATGTGTGCATGGACCATATACGTATTAATAATCAATACGGATAATCTCTATCTGTTTCCATAGCGAAACATGAAGCCGATTTTTGAAGACAAATGACTATCCATAAGGAAAAGTTTTGAAACGATCAGACACATACTGCTTTGATTGAAAGGCTAGTAAACGTCATTGTCCACCGAAACGCATGTCTTTGATGACTACTATAATAGCGTATGGCGCATGCGTATCATGCCACCAAATCCTTATGGATATTCATTTGTTTCATATTTTTGGCTTCATCCTGGCACCCGTTATGATCCGTATTGTTTATTAATACGTATATGGCATGGACTTACCGGTACATAGTTGGCATTGACATAATCAGATCCTTCTTCATCATCTACCGGTTGCAGCTTGAACCTCGAATGGTCGTAAGGCAGTATATTGGTGAACCTATTTTTGGGCCTGTTGCAAGGAAGATCGGCGAATGTGCAAGGTTGGTCCCTTCCTACATGTTTCAGTTCTTCGAATTCTTCACTAAATCTACGAAGATAGTATAGATATTTGGTTCATTATGGTGAAGTGTTTTTGAACTTACACTTTAAATCAAACGCAATTTTTTTAAATGCCCAAAACTGCAAATGAGATCTGAATATTGATGAATATATCGTAACATTTCTTGTTTCTTCAAATTGTTTCAAGTATAAATTAGAAAGTGCAGCGTTTATTAGGAAAAAAAAGGATTTTGTGATGACAAATTTCTGGAAATTCTCTCACCTAACCATTTCTTTGCTTCAAATCACTGTTATGGAGTGAAAGTTGATTTAATTTCAATTCTATTCTGTCTATGAAAACTTCGAGATTCGTTTGCCTGCTTTCCAACAAGGAGACATTGACATCACAGCTCAGTAGCGGGTATTGAAATTGCATTATCAATTTTAGATAATTCATTTGTTGTTCAACATTTCCGGTGAATATGTGGTCATGATAACGTTTTTGACTTCCCTTCATAACATTATGACGAATAAGGCTCATATTTAAGTATACTAGGAAGGCCCATTCTGTTTGCCTAAATGATATAAATGGACATTCATGGAAACTAGCTTTGCTTACCCAATACAACGCTCCATAGATTAAATCCCAAATTTGTAGAATACATTTTGATAGTGCGACTTTTTGAATCAGAAATGTTTTCATTTAATTATTTGCTACTGAGTTATCAAATGTAAACAACGATGGTAATTTTTCATCTAAATGAACTTCATAGATATTCTTTGCATCGTACCTGAAATCAGAATCTGCTGACATTATTCTATAGTGATTGGAGAAATTCTCGATCCTGACTGGTCTGCTAGTCTCAATCACCGAATCTGGCAAAGACATGTTATCGTTCGCCCTTGAATCGGTGGCTTTTCTCTTTCCCAAAGATCGCCTCCTCCGTATGAAAATGATGGTGATGAATAGTAAAACTATGAGAACTATTGGAATGATGACACCCAGTACGATAGGAGTGTTGTCTTGATCTGAAAACATTTTTGTTTGAAGCTATCTACTTAAATAATAATAATATACAGTGTCACCACAGTAAAATCGACATAATCGGGAAATATTTTATTACCTACTCACCTAATTTATGCGGAGTTTGACCTTGGGTCACTTCTTGCTCAATCCAAAATTTTATGACATATTTTGACAAACAGATTTTGAGGGTGACTTTGATTTTCCACAAAAAAGGGTGTTTACACACCTACTTATCAGTGAATTTTAATGAACGAACAAAGTTTTACCCCGATAAATGAAAATCAAAGTGGAAAAATTGGGATTTCAATAAATTGTCCAAATTTTGTATAGGCATAAAATTGGAAAGCCATTATTGTTAAAGGAATTAATCAAGGAAACAAATCCCATGGGATGCAAAATAATTGAGAACCATATTCAGAAAACCAACATTTTTGGATTTTTCCAAGTGTTAGCTTTCAAGAATAGTCATTAGTCTCAAACAAATTATTGAGAGATATGTTATTAAAATATAATTAATACATCAGCGATTATTTTTTTCGTATGAATTGAAACCAATCAGAACTTTCAAATGAGTGGACTATCTTGTATAATTTCGAATATACGTGGATATACATAGTAGCTCCACCAATCAGAAATTTAGAATTATTTCCATTTCCATAGTAACTAATTCATATTGTTATCCACCTTTGTTACATACAACCAAAGCGCGTCGTCAAATTTTGACGTTCGTTCAGACTACTCGAAAAATAATCGCATCAAATACAATTCAAACTTCATAATCTTCAAGGTTATAAAACTCTAACTTCCTGCACAATAATGACAAATCGGTTCAGTTTAACAGAATAATACTCCCGCTTCGCGGTCGGATTATTTCAACTGTTAAACTGGCACTCTTCCTAATAATTATGCAACAAGTTATCAATGTATAACCAGAATATTTTGAAGTACTTATAGTATTACTACTGATAATCGCTATAAAATCATTGGTGCTAACTTATACATATGGAAACTGTAAATAATACAAGGTTGATAGGGATTTAGACGACTTATTAGGAAATAGCATCGATGAAAATATTACGAACATATAACGAAATAACGAAAATTTACAGTATTCTCTTCACTGAGCTAGCCTCCATTTTTTGAGAAACGGAAATGTGTACGAGGCTTTTCCTCAGTTCCAAATATTTTTATCCTTGTAAGAAACATGGACAATTTTCTCGAGAAATCCATAATATCCATAAATCCGATATTTATAAATATTGAGATGATAGCGCAAAGAAACCTGGAAATTCCTATTATTCCCATATATTTGGTAAATGATTGGTAATATTTCCGATTTTTATACATAATTTGTCACTAAAATAGGTAACATTGGTCTAATATAATCAACTTCATATCATCAACTGTTCGCCAATAATAGTGGTCTGACATCGAAAATACGACCTGAACATCATATTTGCAAATAAAATTAATTATCCTCATGTTGAACATTTGAATGGTGTGAATATTTTCATTGGTGATTACATTGTCTGCTAAGTATGGAGAAAAAATCTAGTAAGCTGTAACTACCCAGCTCACTAGATTTTTTCTCCGTATTTACCAGACACTAGGTGATTATATCGACTTTATAGGGGTTTTCTTCCTTTTCCGCCAATTTAAAGAATTTGTACCACTAGAAAGTATGAAAGTATTCACGAAATTCTGTTACGACAGGAGTTATTTTTTATCAAAACTTTAAGGGAATCTGTAAGGACAGTTTCTGAAACAATCCAACTGTGTGACAGTATTGTTTAATTCCAAGAATGACTTCTCATGTGTTTTTCAAATTTCACTCAAGGATTTATATACGAACCTATATCAAAGGGAAGCATATACTCACTCATCTTGAGAAGCCCTGTGCCAGCATGAAATTAAAAAAATCATATTTTTCTCTCTTCCTGTATGGTTGACATTATCAAAAAAATGAAAGTTCATATGACTATGAACAATTTCGATTTCCAATTTTTTTTATCTATTCTAGTTTACCAGATGAGGCTCATGTTAGAGTCACTAGATGGTATTAGTAGATAAGAGTTCGGACACAGCTGAACGTCTGTCCTTTTCTATTTTCTATATTACAATGGTTTGAGTGAATAAAAGAAAATAAGACCTACATTCTGCTCTTTGTCTTTTCAATTTCCCTAAAAGCACCTGATTGTCAGATAGGAGGTCAGATACGATTTTAGAGGTTACATTTCCTGTCAAATCAATCATAGCCGTAGATAATAATAATAATAATAATAATAATATCGCTTTTATTGGTACAGGTTATAGAGATACAATACAAAAATGATGAAATAATGACAAAAAAAAACAATATTTATACCCTGCAGAGCAAAAGGCAAAGTTCGCTCTACTTCAGGTTGGTTGCCCATACCTGAAGTAGTTGCGCTCTTCCACTTAACCATGGAAAATGGAAATAGGGTATAAACACCCACTTCAATTTATGGCGATACGGCAATTTACGCAGAAAAGCAGTTATAAAAATGATAAGAATGCATGTAACAATATTTTTATAACAAAATAGACACATATGGATACACTTATAGCTAGTTCGATTTTTATTAAAAACGCCATTCAATGATATATCACGTTGCAATTTACTTGGATTTCCTCAGATTCGTTCTCAAATTTTCAATTTCATTACGTACTTTAGCAATCAATTCGTTTTTTTCCATGATAGTTTTGTTTTGCATTTCGTGTGATGATAATAATGGATTCTCTTTCCAAATAGTCTGTTTTGTAAATGAATGGAACAGCAGATTCTCTCAAATGGATCTTTATATCTTCTGTTTGAGAAAATGGGCCTAAAATATAGTTTCATTCTGATCTGCTGTTATAAAAAGTAATTTCAATGTATGTACCTCACAAATTTCGCTTGTGTTCGAATACATTTTCCATCCCGGTCGTTTCATACATTCCTTCCATAAGAGAACAGGGTTGATATTTGTTTTGGCGAATTAAATAAATGAAATCCATTCTCTTCAGAATTTCCACAGTTCATTAAACCGCAAGACATTTTCATTTATGCTTTCTCCTCAATTAAATTATATTTCAATTCTGACGTACATAGTATTCATTGTCAAATTCAAACAATTTTGAATGAAAAATCGCGGAACGACTATGGTGCTCTTCTTCAAAAACACTAGCAGTTGTCATTTTTGTGTCCGAACTATTATCTTATATCGCATTCGACTGGCTGCACTATTGCGCATTCAATTCCAACTTTTGTCGTGCGTGTGTGATCGGCTGGTATGCACTCAGACAGAACCAATATCATTTCTATTTGGCTGAACAGGCACTACTCAAGGGTAGAGCTGAGTTTATGTTCGACTGGTAAAAGCGCTCGTTGTTAATTCGAATGTTTTTGCACAATAATTTTTGACGGTTCCAACGTCACGGGCTGAAAGATATTGTGTGTTCATTTACATTGTTATGTTCAGATTTCGAAATGAATGTAATAAAACTATTAGCAATTGATTCCCTATTGTCTAGCAACAAATATAGTAGCTATTAGTTGATAGCAATAATGATATTTCTGAATTCAGTATCGAAGAATCTACTGGTACTGGTACTGGTACTGGTGGGGGACGTTTCCACGTCAGCAACTAGTCCCCAATGGGACCTTTTTGCAAACCCCAAGTGTTTTCAATGACTGATGTGGTTCGCTCAAGAGAGCTGGCTAACATCCTTTTCAGGCACCGCCCATCAGCTCTCGTTTCAGAGTTTTTCAGCTGTGTTTTGTAGGCTAGTAATGTACTCACTACCATATGCGCAGTGGCAGGCCTGCTAACTATCATCGTTAACCCCCGAGACCGAGGTCTACTTAAGCAGCTGGCCCGCTCTCACGCTCAGCTGGTAGTTTTCCACACCCACCTACATACACCGTCCTACTTCTTCTCTGATGCTCACAACCACATCATCATATCTTTCTGCGTGTTCTGTGTAGGCTTTGTTACTAACTCCATGCGCCACTTTAGGAGCAGCACTGTTAATTGGAACGTGTGGCGATATCTTCCTGAGGTGTTTAGGCAACCCATCGTACACTGAGAGGACAGGTGGGTTGTGCAGGTTTCCTACCTGCGAGTACCTACGATAGCGCACACGCGGTTGTTCTTTCTGTTTCTGCTTTCCGCTTGCTTGTGCGGCAGTACCTATAGTATTCTAGTAGCTGTATAGTGTACATTTAATTTTGCACCCTAGCTTTCTGGTGATCCCGGCCGTAGACCTGTGCTACCCGGTACCTGCTCAGGTATGTTATATAATATCATTTATTCCTTGGGCTTGGGGCTGATGACTGTGTTAGGTGTATTCTGGTATGTGAATAGTGGATTTATTTCAGGGTCGTAATCTTGCCGATGTACTTTCTAAATTGCAAATAAAGTTGATAAAACGTGACTGGTACGTTGTTGGCTGGGTTCCAGCCGAATTTCACCTAGCCCAAATCCCTGAGAGTCTCATTCTGCTACAAACGCAATAGCGAATCGTGCAGGATTATCCCCAGCCGATGCTCCGAAACTTTACAATATTTAATTCGTAAATGAAATATTGAAAAAAGTTCCTTGTCCGTGCTGGAAATCGAACCCACGACCTTGCGGTCGTGAGACGGACGCTCTTCCACTGCGCCAATCCCGGCCCATCGAAGAATCTAAGTAGGATGAAACAGGAAAGCAGAAAATTAATGATAAAAATTGGAAACGGGGTGTTTGTAGTAAATGACAAAATTGCATTATAGCTACTATACACTATCGAAACCTGTGATTATTCACAAAATATCTCTATACTTTATTATACCGCAAATAATTATTTTCTCCGTACTTCGAAATTTAAGAAATAATTTGACGATTTGTCAATTTTGAATTGAGATGTTCGATTAGATCTAGCTTGATCCAGCCTTAGGATCCACCAGCACGTTGTCCTAAACATACCAGTCGGATATTGATAACTCCATTCATACAGTGCCAGAATAATTCGAACTATCGACATGCATCTGCTCTAGATTGGTTCGAACAAAACGAATTCTGTCTGAAGTCAGTGCAGTGCTAAATACGCATCTATACCGTGTCAGTGAAATCCAGTCGGAACGACTATGGTGCTCTTATCACAATGCGAGGTGTGTAACTTGATGAATCTAAACATTCAAGAACCGTAGCAGTTGTCATTTCTGTGTCCGGACTGTTATTAAACTAATACCATCCAGTTTCTCTAGCCCAAGTTATATTTGGGATACCTTGTACGCCCGGGAATTCATAGAGCCACCGATGCGGGTATTCTCTTGTACCAACAACCATCTACTCATCCCTACTCACCAGTCGTGATAGGAAAACTATAATTCGTATCGGTGAACTTATCGGGAGCGGTGAACGCCCGGATCTTGACCCTGTAAGTGGCCCCGGACTTGAGCGGCCCGTTGCAGTACCCCGAGTGCCGGACGTCGCACGACTCCCCGCCCACAGTGAAGTCCTCCACGGACGAGTTGAAGAAGGGGAAGTAGGGGTCCATCACCTGAGAAGAATGAAGTCGTTCACTTGCATGATACGTAAACTGTCACGTGAATCAAGTGTGTCTTACAGGTGACATGTGTATATGAGTCATGTGAATCATCCATGATTCACTTGAAAACTATAGCATTTATATTTGTAGCTCACCGGCAAATCACAAAAAGCGTGGCCTGGTATCAATTTGCCACTTTCTGGCCCTATAATAATTATTATTTGGAATAGTTCCCATCAATAACTGCACTATTTTCCAATTTCAACTGATTGTGCTGGAGTTATTAAAATAGTAACAAAAATACTGTGGCATACACTAAAGTTATCATATTGCCATTTGCTGTCCTTCCCTAACAACACAGGAATGTCCTAGGTACGTCCCTTTTTTGTCCCTCAGTACAGTTACATGATTTGGGCATTCAGGGGATGTCATCACGCAGTGATTGTCCAGTGGACATCCCGCCCGGCACATCCCTAGGTATATCTGATATCCATTCAGATCAGAGTCATTGAATTTCACCAAAATATTGAGTTGAATTTTTTTGAAAATGTTTGTTTTTATTCCAGAAAATAATTGTAATAATATAGTCTCAGAACTTCTCAAGAAATGACCATTTTTCGCAAACAGAAATCGTAAATGCATAATGGCCTTCATTTTTAAACACCCAAGAATGATAATAATTATACATGCAATCCTTACAAAGTTGTATTTATTCAGGTTTCAGTTTTGTACTGTTTATAAATCTGTTTAGTACATAAATCTTCAGAAGGAAAATTGCGAATAGAGTAAGGTGTGTGCCTGATAAGCTAAAGGTCCCGGGTTCAAACCGTACTCGACTTAATTTTTTTTTCTTTTGGCGAAGGGCTGTCCCTGGGGACTTCCTAGGGATAGCCTTCCTTCGTACTTGGTACATCCCAGGGACGTACCAGAAGGACATCCCTGACCTTTCATGCTTCAATAAATATTCTATTCTATTGTTCACCTGGTAAGGCGGCCACACCGAGTACGCCTGAACATCCCGCCAGCTGGGCATCTCAAGGCCTGAAGCGTTCTTCGAGTCGTCCTCGGCCACCACGATGGCGTAGGATCTGACCTGGAAGGAAATCGAGCAAAAAGTCAGATGTGGAGTGGTGAAATCGAAATTTTATATGTTATTGTTGATGCTCTTTTTGTAACAACAAAGCTTGTGGCTCCGACGGAATCCCACCGATTGTTCTTAAGAAATGTGCTCCCGAACTAACACCTGTTCTCTGCAAGTTGTTCAACTACTCTTACAAATGGGGGATATTCCCGTCCAACTGGAAAATTGCAAGAGTACAACGAAAAAGGCAAAAAGACCCTACCTCGCAAATACAGACCGATCGCACTACTATCTATTATTTCAAAGATCAAGGAGATAGCTATCAACATCGAGCTCATGAAATACCTGAAAAATATTTCCACTCCATATCAACGATTTATTGGAAGCATTTTCATGCCCAGTACACAGCTCCGCGGATGATAATACCCTCCATACCGCCTTCTCTTCCAGGGCTCCAATATACCAGCCAGGCAAATCAGAAACGAATGAGGGAGAAATGTTGACAACATAAATATGGACTTGGCAACAATTCTAGAATGGGGATCCAATAACTTGGTAGATTTCAATGCAAACAAAACAGAAGCATGCCTTTTCTCTAGGAAAGCCGATCTCACTGTGCCCAACATAAGCCTGTCAGGAGTAACCATACCTTTGAAGACATCCATTTCGATGTTTGGTATTACTATCAGCAATAACCTTTCTTGGGAAAATCACGTGAGATCAATAATTGCTAAAAGTGCACCCCGCGAGATTAACTCGCCGAGTTAAGGCTTCGCACCCCTTCGTGGTCACTTTGGAGACCTGCAGAACATCTCTGTCCAAAGACTCGTTTATCCAACGTGCAGCGAGGCTCTGGAATACATTGCCAAGGGAGGTGTTCCCCGAGGCATATAACCTCCAGAAATTTTAGAAGAACACCAATTCCTATACCTTATTATCCTTGGTTCTCACGATGTTCTCTAAACATTACAAGATATCCTTTTTCGAGGGAGCCAGAACATAAAAAAAATCATGTTAACGCCTTCTAGAGACGTAACATCGATGAAAGATTCAACTGATGAGGCCTAAAACGTCAATACTCTCAAATATTATTCGAGAATATCAAGAAATTGGCTTCTGATGTCGAACTTAAAAAACTTTCCGGGGCTGCACATCAAACCAATTTAGCATTATCAGCATAGCATCTATGATTGTTTCAAGCAGATGTTGATTCTCTTTCGAGGTTTTCAGACAAAACAATCTATCAAATGCACAAACAAGTGAAAGTTGAATCGAGGAAGAATTATTCAGTCTCTTTGTACTCTTCCTAGTATACGGATATTATTTCATTACACAAAACTGTCCTTTTTGGTGATACAGAATTGTGTGAAGCAGATTGCTGCCATATATGTGAGACGTAAGCGAGCAGGTCACCAGCTGATCTCTGATGCCTAACGTTGATAATACCTGAATGTTCCAGGTATTTCATGAGCTCGATGTTGATAGCTTTCTCCAAGATCTTTGAAATATTAGGAGATGGAAGATACCCTTCAGATTTTCAGCTTTTCACTGACTTGACATTCCGGAAATGGCAGCCATTTATTGGACTATTGTCGTCAATCTCTTTATAAAGTCACTCTAGTATTACCCTGGAAAGTAGGTAGCTGTTCTCTATTAGATATTTTAACGATGATTTCATTACTACTTCTAAAAAAAAAAAACGGTTTGTCTGTGTTTTTACTTTCAGATATTGGATATAAAGTGACAGAAGTTAGGACTTGCCGTGTTTCTTTAAAACCCCTAAATCCCCTCACCTGTCCGTTGACCTCGCTGAAATAGTTCTTCCTGAACCGGATCTGGATGGTGGTGGAGCTCTTGCACACCTCCGTGGGCACCACCTGGATGCCGGGTCGCGGCGGTGCCAGGATGGGCATCTTCTGCTTCCAGCCCGTCTCCGGACCGAAGCCGACGCGCGTCTCCGCCTGGATTTTAAACGCGTACAAGCGGCCGGGGATCAGCTGTCTGATGACGCCGCGGAATTCGGTGGGGCCGAAGTCTTTGAACTGGAGGTGCGAGGAGCCCTAAGAGAGACATACGGTATAATTTGGGGATATTCAGCGCCGCAAAAGTAACACAAAATTTTGTTTCATTCCAACATTATCTATATAGTGGAGTAATTGAATGCCAATTATTCAGTATCTGTCCAGTAGCCTATTTGGAAGCTCTTTCGCCAGAGAACCACCGACCACCGGCATACTATCTAGACCGCTGATGCCATAAGAGGAAAGCTCATCTATTTACTAGAGTTCCTTAATGTATATATATTATACAGGGTGTTTCAAAAAAACCTGACCCCCTTAATAGGGTAGGTAGAACACTGCAAAATAAGTTGGGTTCACTCAGTAAAAAAATGTCGTAACGGCATCCGTTTTCATGATACAAGGTGTTGAAAAAATTATTTTTTTACACATTTTTGAAGATTATGTCGAAACTACTGGCAACATAGTAATGAAATTTACTATGGATGTTTTTTGAAATCTGACACATCGCATGAATTTGTTTTTATATCTGACTCTCATAGAGGGCGCTAGTTACACGGTTCGTACCGAGTAGTTTTGAACATAACTTTTTTGAGGTTAGATTTTTCAATCCAAATTTGATGTGAACTTGAACATCATTCAATTTCACACCAAAAAGGTACTCTTGGTAAAACTCGATACTGTGATCCGTTTTCGGAAAATTTCGATTCGGAAATGATGAAGTTATACCCTGCGTCTGATGAAGTGATAACTGTTGCTGGTATAAAGCTATGTATTAGAGTGAGTATTATGAAGAATCATCACCAATTAATTGAAAACCAGAAACAACAATACATTTCTGATGCTAAACTTATTGATTTAACATTGAATCACAAGAATAACATCGAAACAGATTTGACTAAGAACATAGGTAAATCACATCAAAAGTTTTAAGATATAATTGAACATCACATAAATGACCAAACAGCTGATCCTCTAAACTACTGTTTAGAAGAATAATACATTCTTAAAAAAAGAATATAGAATCATGTATTCGTCCAAACGTGGGACATTTTGAACACTTACTCTAACTGATTCAATATTTCATGTTTCTAGTCAAATATCTCTTAATTTTCTTCTTATGATTCTTTGTTCCATCAATAACTTCAGCACAAGAATAATTTTATTGTTTTTGAATCTGAATGAATAGGTAATTGAACTCAATTAAATTCATTTTATACCAGCATCAGCTATTACTCCATTATTTTCAAATCGAAATATTCCGAAAACGGAACATAGTATCGAGTTTCACCAGAAGTACCTTTTTGGTGTAAAATTGAATGATGTTCAAGTTCATGTCATATTTGGATTGAAAAATCTAACCTCAAAAAAGTTATGTTTTAAACTACTCGGTACGAACCGTGTAACTAGCGCCCTCTATAAGAGTCAGATATAAAAACAAATTCATGCGATGTGTTAGATCTCAAGAAACATCCATAGTAAATTTCATCACAATGTTGCCAGTAGTTTCGACATAATCGTGAAAAATGTGTAAAAAATCATTTTTTCAACACCTTGTATCATGAAAACGGATGCCGTTACGACATTTTTTCACTGAGCAAACCCAATTTATTTTGCAGTGTTCTACCTACCCTAGCAAGGGGGTCAGGTTTTTTTGAAACACCCTGTATATATTGACACTTTGGCACAATGTGGTGAAATGGATGAAATTAATAAATAGTCGATTTTAAGAAACAAATTATGTTGCTTGGCAACCACACGGCGCATAGTGCCTATCACGATTGAAGTTTAGTGTTGAGTATTGAGTGTTATCTATTCTGACATTGAATACTACATTGACAACCCACTACTGGTAAGTTATTCATTCAGAAACGAAAACACAGCATGTATGTTTCCAGTAGCCAATCAACAGTCGCAATACAAAATCGAAAAACATGTTTTCGAATAATGGATTTCTTTTTGTAGGCCGGAGTTACACCAGAGCTACTCCTGGACCCCAATCTACAAAGTTTAACCGTTTTTTTACGCACGGTTTTGAGATCCGGTACATCGCTTACCTTCCCCTGCCCCCCTTGCATCTACTGCGTACGTGGTGCAACAAGCACTTTCGGCGGCATTTGAAAATCTTTGGTTATGTTATGTTTGTGTTTTGATCTGGACCGATATCAAAATGGAAAAAAAAACTAAGAAAGTTTATTTATGATAATATTTTCGCGAGATTTACAATCTCAGAATGTTTTCTTCTGGGTTCATCATTATCATCAGAAAAATCCATGAAAATACTGTCTGAAGCTGATAAGAGCTGGTTGATTCTGACATGCTGAAACGATTGCCTGGTCCAAATAATTCCTGAAGGATACATTCAATAATAAATTCGATATAATATTCACTCTACTTTTTTTTTTACCTCACCATCAACAATATTTCGGTTTCAGAGTCAGACATTCTCAAGAACAATTTTAATAATTTTCAAATATCGATAAGGAACAATAATCACTACTGACTTTTTGACTTCAAACAACATGAAGGCGCATGGGCTACACATTATTAATAAAATATTGCCTAAAAGCCGTTCAATTTGAGAGAGAAGCTTCAAGCCTGGTACAGTTCGTGAGCCTGGAATAACAAAAAGAAAGCGCCTAATCAACACAGATTTTCCAACCGACCAAAAACATGCATTTTGCATTGAAGGGAGATAGCCGTTCTCTCGAATAGCTCAAAGTGTGTCAGGGACATCAGTAGCAACAAAGATAGCATGTTTTACGGTAACCTGTCTCTTTCCTACTCGTGTTGTTTAATGGTGGATTGTTGTTTACGTTTTCTTTTATCTAATAATTGAAGTACTTTAGATTTTTTCTCTCATCTGAACAGGCAAGAAAGTGAAGACATAAGTTAACTGTGTTTGGTTATATGAAATATCTATTCATTTGGCGTGTTTTGTTTTATCAAAAGGTATGAATTTGTTGGTGTGAACACTGTGAACTGATTGTTGAGGAGGTTTGTGATTTCATATTGATAAACAATGGTGATTTATTGTGTCGCCTTTGGATGCAAGAACAAGCAAGACAAAAGGAAATTGTCATTCCATGGGTAAGTTGAATATTGTTCAGATTTTTGGAATATATAGTTCTTGAAATGATCATCAGTTAGGTGTACAATGTTCCCAGTCTCAGAATATGTTCAAAAACTATACCTATATTATTTGTCAAAGTTAAATACTTCCATGACATTTCCATGAACATATCAAGTAATATTATTTGTTGCAGTTTTCCATTCAGACATTCTTGAATTATGAATTAAGGTAATTCGTAGAGAGAATTGGACTCCATCTAAAACCTTTGATTTGCCTATGACTCCCAGCTCCCAAGTTTCGAAGTTTATCAATAAAGAATCCCATACTGTTCCATTAGAGAAGGATATTGTATTGAGAATTGTATTTTCTGAATTTCTAATAGGGATATGTTTGTAGGCAGTGACCTAATGGAAAAAATAGGAACCTATGGAAATAATGCTCAAAATGGACCTTAGGTACTCAATACCATTCAAGAACCTCTTTCAAAAGCTTTCCTATCGTTTTTCTTTTTCTTCTGATAGTGCTGAGACATTGTGCTTCGCTCACCCTGAATATTGTGACATTTGAATGAAAATATATAATTTCAATTTTGTATTCATTTGACTTCGAAATCGTGTAAGAATAAAAATGAAATTTAATTTTTAAGTCAATTATAAAATCAATAATAATGTTTTAATGATAATTGATTGCAACATTATTCTTCTTCCTAAATAAATATTTATAGTTGATCACGTTTACTCTTAAATAAAAGCAAAAAACGAGAAAATATTTCAAATAATGCGAGCGCTTCCCATTAGCCAACATAAGATAGAAAGAGATAGGTATCCGTAAACACTGCGGGTTTCCTGAACAATATTTTTGCCTCACTCGTCGTTCACAGAGGGTTTACATTGTTTATTGTTTATATTGCATTGTCAAACCCACCTCCAGTCCATACGATATGGTGAACTTCCTGATAACCCCGTTCTGCTCGGCCATGGGCAGCGACCACTCGAACACGATGTCGCTGGGCTGGATGTCCACCGGCTCGAACTTCTCCACTTTGCCCGGCACCGACTCCTTGGTGGTGAAGATGGCCGACACGGGCAGCGACCTCCTCAGGATGCTCGACTCCGTACCGCTGCGCACGATCACCGTAAAGGTGTAGTTGCGGTGAGGCCTCAGGTCGCCGATGGTTATCGAGTTGTGCAGCGTGAGGTTCTGGATGAGGACGTTCTCGGTGGTGAGGTATTGCACCTCGAAGGCGTTGTATTCGCCGCGCGGGGAGGACCAAGTCAGAGAGATTTCGGTGTCCGATATGTAGGTGGAGTTGATGCCCGTGATGGGTTCGGGATCTGCGGAAAATCAATTTGCTAGTTATACTGGTCATACAAAATTGAGAATAGAAGATAATATATCTGCATCTCTGAGTAGCCAAGATCGTTGCTGCGTTCGTCAGCATTATGACAGTTGAACGAGGTGGACATTTTGAAATCCTAAAGCAGCAATCACTATCACTATAACAAGAGAACTAAGAGCACTGAGTAGTGATGCCACATGGTGGGTATTTCACTGAAATCATGTCGAAGAATGAAAACGAAAGCGATCAGTGTGCGTTATCGAGTTGTGCAGCGTGAGGTTCTCGATGAGGACGTTGTCGGTGGTGAGGTATTGCACTAAGTCAGGGAGATTTCGGTGTCCGATATGTAGTATACCAGTGATGGGTTCATGATCTGTAGAAAATCGATTTACAAGTCACACTGGTCATACAAAATTGAGCGTAGAGGGTAGTATAGCTGCATCTCTGAGTGGCCATGATCGTTGCTGCGTACGTCATTATTTCACAGTTGAACAAGGCGGAAATTTTGAAATCCTATAACAATCACTATCACTATAATAAGAGAACAAAGAGCACTGAGTAAGTATGTCACAGTGTCGGTATTTCATTAAAATCATGTCGAAGAATGAAGACGAAAGCGATCAGTGTGCGTTATCGAGTTCTGCATGTTAGTATGGAGATGATGCCCGTGATGGGTTAGGAATCTGTGGAAAATCAATTTCTAGTTATACTGAACGATATTTCAACATTTCGAGAAAATTTTGATTTTTAACGTGTCTTTATACAGAGCACACATATTCAGTCCAATGTATGGTATCAATAACTTGTCATGTACTCAATCTATCAGTAACTTAGACCAATCAGGGTGTTAGAACAAGACGGCAATTCATCTTTGGGGCTAAGACTTGAAAGTACGAGAATGGCGAACCCGTGGTACCCTAGCAGGATTAATCATTAATCTTCATCTTGTCTTGGATGGTAGCCTCTTCACTCTTTAGGTTTCAATCGCCCCTATCGGCCTCTCTTTGCCAATTCTTCTTTTTTCCCTTCAAAGCCCAACCTCACCATGGTGCGGGAAAGACAAGCCGTGACTGCTCGGCAGATATAGAATTTTGGGAACATCTTTGTTCGCATCACTCAGATGGGACAGTTTCCTGTTCTGTTCCTTCTTCATGGACGAGATCAGGGCTCGAAAGAGTAGTCTTCAAGAACCTGAACGACAAGGGTCTTTCAGAAGAAACCTGTGGTTTTGTGAGAGGGAGTACTTACAGTTGCTGTGATGGTATTTGAAGTGGCCCTTATGTAAGAACCATGGTAAAATTAATAACGGTACCTATATTCGAGGTAAAATACAATCGGCCAATAGGCCTAAGTGTCATCGGATACTTCGGTCATGACGAGCCTTGGAGGAGCCTTTAGTGGGTCCACCTACAGTCTACAGATAGGGATTCCACCTCTGAAAAAAAACGGGCGGGAATTTCGGAATCAAATAGCAGCAATCACTATCACATGGTATCACTAATAAGATAACTAAGAGCACCGAGGACTGATCGGTTACAGTGACAAACTAACATAAATTGTGTGATCTCAGTTTGAGAAATGAATTTTAATATGTTTATACCGTAATTAGCAATAATGTTTTCACTACCTAACAGGACCAAAGATATGTTAATGGAGAATTTCTTGTCAACCTGACGAATATGCACTGATGATGGCTTTATAGCCGAAAGCGCTCTGCTATGACACTTTGAATAAATACGAAATACAAGATTTGTACAATTATTTGGATATACACGTGCACACAGCTAAGCAATCCTCACTTATTACAAGATACTATGAAGTATGTATTATTATTTATAGAGACGAGGAGAGGGAATCCCAAAATTTCATACAAATGAATCATCCATCGCATATAACAAATACAACATGAAATATAAAACTTGTGAACATCTGCTTATGTGGTCGCGGATTGATAAACGAGGCTCTGGCAACCTAATCCGAGTTGTGGTGTCGATAACGGGACCTTATTCCTCTGCAGGGGGAACTACAGGGCTGGACCAATCTCTTTCCCCACTACTTGTAAGAGAAGGAAAACTTTTGGTCTTCTTCATGGACAAGATCAGGGCTCGGAAGAGTAGTCTTCAGGAACCTGAACGACAAGGGCCTTTCAAAAGAAACCTATGATTTTATGAGCGAGAGTGCTTCCTAGTTACTGTGATGGTATATGAAGTGGCCTTATGTAAGAAATTGATAACGGTATAGTCGAGGTAAGATACATAGGCCAATAGGACTAAGTGTCAACGGAGACCTCGGTCATGACAAGCCTTGGAAGGAGGTGGACTGTTTAGTGGGTACACCTACAGTCTACAGATAGGGATTCCCACATTACCGGGAAGGGAATCGTCCTCATGGTGTCCATAAAGGATTTCAACCAACTCTGAAAAAAGGCGGGAATTTTGAAATCCTATTGCAGCAATCACTATCACTAATAAGAGAACTAAGAGCACCGAGGACTGATGGGTCACAGTGACAAACTGAGATAAATTGTGGTATCTCAGTTTGAGAAACGAATTTTGATGTTTGTACCGTAATAAACCATAATGTTTTCACTACCTAACAGAACCAAAGATATGTATATGGAGAATTTCTTGTTAACCTGACGAGTATGCTCTGATGATGGCATCATCATAAATTAACTAATTTGCACAGATTTTTACAATTATTTGTATATACATGTGCACACAGCTAAGCAACCTTCACTTATTGCAAGTGAAGTATATATTATTATTTTTATAGAGACGAGAAGAGAGAATCCCAAAATTTAAGAAAAATGGATCATCCATCGCATAATAACACATACAACATGGAATTTAAAACTACTTACATAACCTATCTTGCCTCTGCAACGGCTGGCTACCCACATTGTTCGACACCGTCCAAACGGTGATGTTGTACAGCCTGCCGGGCACCAGCCTCGTGAAAGTCACGAGTCTGTCCGAGTCGTTGGCGGTCTTCTCTTGGTTCGGTATGTCGGGTTCCGACAGGGAGAACCTGTAGATGTCGAATTTGGAGGAGCTGGGAGGAGTGGGCGTGTACCTGAGGCTTAACGTGTCCGTCGACTGTTGGTTGTTGACCACCACGACTTCGGACTGGATCAGAGGCACTTTAAGACAAAAATATGAGGAATATTGAGAATATATCATTCACTCACCGGCGAAACAAACCGGCTAGTAAAAATGTCTGCCAAATTGATTACCCTGTAACTTTTCTTGACCGATTCTGGAAAAAATGATATCGATTCATCTCAATATCTGTTTTTCAAGAGAACAATAATTCAGAAGCATTCTCCAACCTGGTTACGCTCGCTCACGCTCCGAGGGAATAACGTGCGCAATAGCCAGGAAGTAGTTGTTTTCCTCCCGTCATCTACCATTGTTGTTCATTTTATGAACATTTGTGTGGAAATGACTTTGAGCTTTTTTTGTATCAATTTGATCTATCATTCCAGAATTTTTGTCTCCGTTCAGTAAGGACGAAGGAACATATAAATACAATATAACGAAAAGACACATCGACAAATCGAAACTAGGTGAACATATTCTTACTGAAGATGGACAACATATGGCAGAGTGGAATAATATTGAAATCATTGGAAAAGAAGATAACAACCAGAAGAGAAAAATCAAGGAATTAATGAAAACATTCGTTTCAATTAGAACGATAATGTTATTATTAAAGTGCTCAAATAAAATAAGCGGACCACTCAAATTGTTTACGTTCTGCAAGATTCGATAACTTGGAAATCGACCGATTCTTCGAAACTATATATACAGGGTGTCTGTAAAAGGTTGGGACATGGCTCGGCTGTGGACTCCTGGGATAAAAACAAGTTGATTTAGGCCAACTTACCCATATCCAAAATCGGCGTTGAAGTTTTTTTGGAAAAAAATAATTTTGCTCATGAAAAGAGTAGGCTGAGATCGATTTTCATAATTTTTGGCATGGAATGTTCTGTGACTGTAAGTCACGTTTTGAGAGGTTTTTGATCATCATAGTGACCTGCAAGTATTTCAAACAACCATGTTGCCGTACAAATTTGGTGATAACTTTTCAGAGGTGGGACTGAAAACTTCCATTTTTTTCTTCAGAAAGATATTCCCTTCATAAAAATAAAACTGCAGAAATGTAGGTACATTTGAAAAGAAAGTAAAAAAACTGATCATTTCTAAGAGAAATGTTCAAAATTTTTCAGTAGGGTCCTTGACTAGAATTTTTTTCTTTGTTCATTGATTGTTTTGTTTAATTGTGATTTATTGTGATATCCTGATTTATTACGATTAATTATTCATGTTCACTTCTACTCATGTTCGTGTAGTAGTTCATAGATATTTATTACTTATTATTTTATAATTATGCTCTTCCTCATACCATAACATGTTCTGACTGGAAGATATGTTTGATAAATGAATAAATAAAATAAATAATTTCGTGATTTTCTAGGTTATTCCAAGGGCCGCAAGGGGGTAGTTTCAAATTATTTATTATTTCAAATTAAATGTGAAATGTTGAAGGCACGATGATTTTCAGACATTCCTGAATTGCTTGTTGAATCAAGAAAAAAGTTATCTCATCTTAAAACGTCCGAAATTCAAGTGGTCCACTTCTTTCATCAATTCATAAATTCTGGAAATTACAAATCACTAAAACTTCGCGATTGTAATTTTCTGATATCACCTGAGGTCCTTAGATTAGAGTTTACTTCCGATCATGGCCACCTAGAAAAAAAAATGACTCCGAAAAAATTAAGTAGGCATGAAAACTTTGGAAAATGTCACATTCTGATCTAGAATTGACTCAGAAATCCAAAAATGTTACAATATACAGGGTGTTCTATTCAAAACTTTAAAACCGGAGCCATTCCCGGTGAAACCGGAAGTGACCGGAAAGTGAAAAATATGTGAGAAAAACGCATCTCTCAACATACCATTAACCTATACCAAATCTCATTTTGATGGTCTGGAAGTTATGACTTGTCTAATAGATTCGTTGACACCCGGTATATGTGATATCCGGGAAAAAATTACTCACTTTTTTCCCACGGGAAAAAAGTAATTTACGAAAAGTGACATTTTATAACATGCCAACAGAGATGAAATACCAAACTTTTTTCCCGTCTCAGAGAAAAATAGTTATTTATTATACAAGGGAAAAAGTAGTAGATTTTAGCTCCAGGTTGTGTTGTCTCCCGACGCGTAGCGGAGGGAGACAAAAAACCGTGAGCTAAAATCTTATATTTTTCCCGTGTATAATACACAATTTTTTTCTGCGACAGAAGAAAGAACGAATCAATATTGAGAAGATATTACATTATCTGAAAATTATCGACGTGAAATTTTAAGTTCTCAACAGTAGGGACACCTGCGTTGTAGGCATCTTTATCATTCTTTGGAAGTAATCAAATATCTGATGTCACTTCTGTCAGTCTAATTCTGTGTATATATATGTGATATATATCCGGGAAAAAAGTACTCACTTTTTTACCACGCGGGAAAAAAGTAATTTATGAAAAGTGACATTATATAACCTGCCAACAGAGATGAAATGCCAAACTTTTTTCCCGTCACAGGAAAAAAATATAAAATTCCTTTAACTCACTCGTCCTAGTGCTCAACACGGTGATATCGCTCTCCAAGTCATTCGACACGGCTCGTATTTCGAACATGTACTCCACGCCGGGCATCAGATCGCCCACCAGCAGCCGCACCGGGCCCGTGCCGTTCCGGTCCTGGCTGACGTTCCGTCTGTGCGCCTGCGCGGGGTGGCCGGATTCGCGCCACTTGACCACGTAGGTGTCGACGCGGCCCTCGGGCCTCGGCCATTCGAGCGTCACGTTGTTCGAGTCGACGAGCGGGGCGATGTTCGATACGGGGTTGGGTCCTAGAAGAGAGAGAATGGGGTAAAATCAAATTGAACTGTATACTATTTATTATTAGTAATCCAGTCACTTGGTGACGATAAGCACTGGATTCAGGAAAAAATTGCTAAAGAATATTTCTCGACGGATCTTTATGGTTTTTGTGGTGCTGAATCTGAAAATTTAGTTATCGACTAGATTCGGATATGGCACCACCACGAAAATCGCAATATGCCATGAAAATTCGGAACTTATTCTGATTTTTTGTTTATAACTCCGAAACCACGTGATTTAGAGAAGAAATACATGATACAACAATGAAAGCCTATAAAATTTACTGTAAAACAAGAATCGGCTCGATATCTTGTTTGATTTAGCCGCTAGAGTGCCCTGAAAATTGACAATAGTTTTAAAGTTGTCCAAAATATTCGTATTTCAGATTTTAAATTAGTGTGCATCGCCAGACTAGTGTTTCCACCTGGTGTGTTTCACCATGGAGTATCCTGAACCTCCTTCCTTAACATTTATTTTATGCCTTCATTTTCAATTTCCCACCAAATCACAAATATAGGTACATCAATAACGCTTGATGCCAAAAACAACCATACAACCGTGTGCACCAGACAAGCTGTTGCATCTTGTTGCCTGCAAATGCATACAAGATTGTAAACGAAACTGCGGCTGCAAAAAGGCCGGGTTGTTCTGTTCCGAAATCTGCAAATGCTGTGAGGACTATGGCAGCAACAGTCAGATGTATTCCGACTATGACGACGATCTGTATGATGAGAACGACGAGGATGTGCTTTACTGGTAGGTAACTCTTTTGTGATTCAGAAGTAGTCTTCCAAGACGAAAAGAAATGTACCTCCCGCAATCGACCGTTTACTGCAACTAAATGAATTTTTGGAGGATTTTCTATTTATTTTTATCCGTACAACCATAAATGTCTTTCACAAGCAGACTTATATTATGGATTCAATTTCGACTTCAGACCCAATCACAGACTGTAGGCTTTGAAAGTCTGAAATACGAATATTTTGAATGACTTGAAAACTATGGTCAATCTTCGCGCGCTCTAGCGGCTGAATCAGATGAGTTAGCGAGCTGATTTTTGTATTATTTTTTTGTAAATTCAATTTGCTTTCATTATTATCTGCACTAATTTTCCTCACCATCAAGTTGTTCCGAAGTTGTGAACGAAAAACTAAAACAACTCCCGATTTTTCATAATTTTCTGCCATTTTCATGGTGAAGCCATACATGTCCTTCCCAATTCGATTGGCCCGTTAACTGGTCAACTGTCATAGCAGCCAATAGCTTGCCTTGTTTAGAAAAATTGAGAACAGGAAAGTTGGATTGCGAATCTGTCTCTTCAATTTTGTGTTTTCGAAATGTATACTGCACAGCTGGAGCTCATTAGCAAACAGTAGCGCTTTGCTGTCTTTTCTCCTAGGTTTGTTGATAGTTTATATGGTTCTTGATTTTATTTTATTGTTCTTGCATTTGATTATTTCACTCACAATTATTACTTTGTGAAAAATAGTTTTTATCAAAACTACATCTCCAATTCATTGTTGTGAATAGGTAAGACCAATAATTAACCTCTTGTTTTTATTGTTCATGTCCTTATTTTCCTTTCAGGATTAATCATGTTTTTTTTTTCTGGTGAAATGGATGCCTTCTCACTGATGGCACATTTCAGAAGTGGTACTTGTAATCCTGATGAAACGTGGACACATTCACTTCAATATTTTGATATCAGCTGTTAATTTCCAGTTATTTATTTACCAACTGTGCAGTGTTGATTGCAAACAAATTTTCATCACGTGGTGTTCAATCATTGTTGAAGACCCGGTACTAATTATTCAAATCTAGAACATCATAGGCAGGATTACACCATAGGAAACTAGTACGAATTGTTCATGGACACAACTGTACGTCCCAGGGCAATTCTTCGTTTTCTACTAGGACGTCCCTGGGATATCCTGTGTCGGGAAATGGTACATCCTAGGAAAGCTTTCCACAGAAAGAGGCATCCTAGGGACGTCCTTCTAGTACGATCCCAGGAATGTGTGTGCACAGTGGGCCCGAAAGGGAGGCCTAAATACGTCAGGTCCCGGACCACCCACACACACATACATACATATTTATTCCTACTTCGCTGCATTTTTTGTGCATTGAACAACAGAGCATCAATGTGATGGCATGCTTAAACAATAAATATGCCAAAACTATTGTGAAAAATTATATTGAATCCTATGTAAACAAATAAAAAAAGTGAGGTAAGTGATATTGTTTTACCTCCAGGGTTGGTCGTCTGATATTTTGTGCACGCGACCTATAAAGTTACCATGACGTCATAAAGTTAACCTGATCATCAGCGTTTTATTGGCAATATTCTTCTACCGGATCGACAGTTCCAGTCGTTTTATTGAACATTATTCTGAAACCAGTTCCAACTTTTCATTCCGTCTCATCAGACGGAATGATAGTAAGAAGATTATGGACTAGGTGACAGAAATGGCGGTATATGTCAGGAAACGTCTCACAAATTTTGATTACCGATTCTTTCAGCTGGCTTGTACGAATTCAGTACTGAAGTGTCTGCTGCTGCTGTAAATGAGGTAATACCTCATAATGCCGAAACAGCAGACACATCATTCAATGATGAAACAGCAGATGAAACATTGAAAGATAGTGACAATAATTTGAACTTGATGGTGGAGAGGAAGAACATCTGGGATAGTAAACAGACGCTTTTGCTCATTGATATATGTGGGCACAATAAGGACCGATTCAACAATCCTAAATATAAAAGAGCGAAGTATACAAAGAAATATATAATCAAATGAAAAAGAATGGACACTTCTTCTAAAGTGAAGAATGTTTGAATAAAATGAAAACACTAACTACCAAGTGCAAAGAGATACGAGATTTCAATGCCACTTCTGGAAACAATCCTAAAAAATGGCCGTATTTTGATATACTGACAGAGTACTTTGAAGACCGCCCAGGTATAGTAGCCAGAGCATCATGTTCAAGCTTGAATATAGCTCAAAATAATCATAATCTACCTGATCATAGCAGCCCATCAACATCCAATGTACAGAAGAGAAAATCAGAATCTTGTAAAAGGGAAGAGAAGGGAAAAATGGTTAAGAAAACTCCGGAGAGACAAGATCAAAGAAAAGAAATGGTTGCTTGGCTTAAGGATCACAAGTGCAAGAAAGAGAGGAAAGGAGGCTGATGAGTATGGCTGTAAAGCAACATAATGAGAATATAGTGATGTTATCACAAATTTTAGATTTGTTAAAAAAAATCTTCAGATGTTGATGCACCTGCACCAGAGTGATATCAAGAATATATATCAGAGACCTTCGGTACAACATTTATTCAATGTGAATATTCAGTAATTGGTTGATAATTATCTCTTGTTATATGAAATTAAAATGTTTTCATTGTCGTCTACTTTTATATAATTTCATCCCTCTACTCACTTTATTATTATCAACAAAATATCATATGCAAATATCTTGCAATTGGGTATTAGAAATTTTATAAAAATGCTATATCTTCATTCCATGTTGGAAAGCAATTTCCCACAAGTCGAAACTTTTATGGGGAGTTTGATATATTAAAATTGTGCACTATCTCTGATAAACTGGAGAATGTGTTCTATATAGGATGGATATAGGGACCTACTGAAAAAGTACTGAAACTATCAGGTGACAACTTGAAAAAGAATCATGATGTTTATGTGTTGACGGACGGAACCTCCCCGTTTTATTGGAAATTCCTACTACTTTCACCAGTTAGAAACCAAAAAAACGCACCTTGCGTTAGGAGAAATTAGGGACAAATGACCTCAGTCATGATTTGTACGTTAAAAATGACAAATGACATTCTACTCACTGACTGTATGGTTCAACTGCTGCGGCTCGTTGCTCTCTAGCCCGTAGCTCACGGTATTCACCTGTACGGTGTACCTCTCTCCCGGCGTCATATCCGTCACCTCGGCCTCCGTTTCCTGCACGGCCGGCAACCTCACCCACCGGTTGTCCGAGTCGGTCCTGTACAAATCAATGCATTTATTCATCATCTCAAGAATTTAATATGAAATTTTACTACCCCTGTCAAAAAACTGAACTGTTTTAATGCATGGTGATTCATTGGGAAATGCGTATACAGTGAGGGTAGATGGAGGACACCGAGGTGCTTCTGAATAATCTATATTTCATGTGTCTATCATTCTTTATAACCGAGATACAAGGTGATTTATTGATTTCCTCCATTTTTTCAATAAGTTAATCATAACTTATGAACCACTTTATACAATTTTTTGATATTTGGTTTGTATGTTCTTTGTCCACAGTGGTGACGATTAGCATAATAAAATGGAGTTTTACTCCAGCGCCGGCCTTGAAATTATTGATGAGTAGAGATCAAGTCGAAACAAATTGGAAAAAAAATAATTTGTCGTCCCCAAATGGCACTTTTTCATTTTCAATCCATGAAATCATCATCTATTTCTTATTCTTAAAATTTTTGGATCCCAACCTGATCGAAAAACTAGAAGACAAGTCCGTATTTGGGAGAAATTATCATTATTAAATGACTAACTTTAAATACCCTGTATGTGTAAGTGAATTATCATAACATGTGTTTATCACACTACATTTAAAACAACAGTCATGAAAATGAAGAACAATACCCATTTTGAAGGTTAAACATAACAGAAAATAAAAAACTAGACTTCTATTTATCCACGTCTGATTAATTTTTTAGCTAGAGCATGATCATTTCTCGGCTCCTCTGATGCATTATTGATAATAATAATGAAATGAAGCAGTCTGTACGTACACTTTGATTTGATATCCCAATGGATGAAAGTAAATATGTCATCACTGTATTTGTAGACCTTCAGAAAGCTTTCGATGTAGTGGATCATAATATATTATTATCGAAGTTGAATACATTAGGATTGAGGGGTATAACATTAAACTTAATTGAAACATATCTACATTCCCGTGAACAGTATGTCTCGCTTAACAACATAGAGAGCCAGTTAGAAAACATAAATTGTGGAGTACCACAGGGCTCAGTCCTGGGTCCACTGTTTTATTCACTGCACACCCTCAATTTAAAAAATGCAAATTTAATAGCTCGTTACTATACGTTTGCAGATGACACAATACTTGTTTATGAAGGAAAAGACCTAATAGAACTAGAAAGTAGAATCAATATAGATTTGAACCTATATTCAGAATGGCTGTTGAGTAATAAATTGAAAATTAATGTACAAAAAACAGTATATATGTTATTCAAGAATAAAAACAAAGAAAGTCACGAGATTATTATTAAAATTGGAGATAATATGTTAAAAAAAGTAGAAAATACAAAATATCTAGGGCTAATTGTTGACGACAAACTCAACTGGCAAGCACACATAGAACACATGACAAATAAAATTGTTCCAATGATAGGTGCCCTGTATAGATGTCGTGATTACCTAAACAACCATAATAAGCTGATGATCTATAATAGTTATTTCCTCTCAATATTTCGATACTTAATAACGAACTGGGGAGTTTGCTCTAATACGATGATGAAAAAAGTCAAAACATTACAAAACAAAGTAGTAAAGGTACTGTTTGATTTTGATTATAAAACAAATACCAATACATTATATAGTGTCACTGGAATATTACCACTCGATAAAATTCTACTTATTGAACAATGCAAATATATATATAAAGTCTCGAAGAATCAGCAAAAAAGTAATACACCAATGAATTTAGTAAACCAAGTTCACAATCACTATACCAGGGCAAACAATCAAATATATCTAACACAAGTAAAAACTAATGTGGCACTGAATGACCCAATATCCAAATGTATTCAAACTTATAATACTCTACCAAATTTCATCAAAAACAAAGATAGTTATGCATCGTTCAAAAGAGAACTAATGATTTATATGAATGCAATGAATACTTAGTATGTAATTTGTGTTTTTTGTTGTTTTTTTTTTGTTAGGTTAAATATGCTTCAAGACTGTACCCAAATATAAAATGTGCATTTTTGTTTGATGTTAACTTGATTAGGTACTTGTTTATACATCATTAAGTTTAAGTTCCATCACCAGCATTATTGCTGATTTGGAAAAAAAAAATACTATGAATTGTTATAGTTGTATGTTTATTTGTTCAATAAAGTATTTTTTCTGAAAAAAAAAAAAATCGTAGTAATTATTGTCAAGATGGCTGATGTTAGAGTACAATTTTGACGTTATTTGATGAGTGTGTACTCTTTTTACTTGTGTTCTGTGTTGAAGTTATTCGTTTATAACGGTTATTGCTTACTCAATGACACAAAAATTCGATGATAATGAACATGTATTGTGATTGAAAAGAAGTGCTTCCATAGTAACAATAGGTCCATATTTCAGTTTTACAGAACTATATTGATGGAAATATCCTGCTAGTGGTGAAAAAAGTACTATACAGCTTGCTCTATAAATAACTATTTTCCAGCACTAGCTATAGAACCTACCATTATTTACTCTTTTTTGAGGCGTAAAGTGTGTTTTTACTACCAAGGTATAATAGTTTTCGTCATTTCATGAACCACTAGTCGATAAAGACATAACCACATATGTTGTAATTAACCCGAATGCACTGTTCTGATCAGGGATTTGCAGGAATGGCACTCGAATCTAGTAGTTATTTATCAATAAAGACTAGTCATATGCTGTCATGGTCATGGCTAATTGAAGAGTATAATTTCTATATGGTCCAAGTGCCACTTTCACATATTTTGAGATTTTTACATTAAACTGGTCTATGTGCCATCGCCAATGTTTTTGTAAGCGGGCAAAGTGCTAATGCAGTGATAATTCTTCCAGGTGTGCCGGAAAGATGGCGCAATCTGCATATACCAAGGGCTATTAATATCGAAACGGTCTAAGTGCCGCTTCTACGTGCCTGTGGACACTGGTAAATGCCACAAAAGCCCTTATACTGTTGTACACATGGGACAGAATGACTTCAAGAATCTGCACCATTTCGCCGATGCATACATAAATATTTCAAAACTTAATATTTCCCAAGCATCCCGGTTGAAAATTTCAAAAGATAACCCTTTTGTGGTATCTATTCGAAAATCTGTCAGAAGCGTAGCACCGTTGGAAACCTGTGATGTTCCGAAGAAAGGAAAACAGCTTGCCACTTTCAGATCAGACCCGATCCCATTACTGGAATGCAAAAACCGTATCACGAAAGAAAAATTAGACAACTTAAGGTATATGTTAGATTACATTCCTTTGGCATATCTTGATGGTTTTTATGAAAATTTGATTGCTGAAACCACTGAACAAGTCTAACTGAGGAAAACTCAGATCATGATAGGGAACATAGACTTCAGTTGTAAGACCGTTTGAAAATAAAACATTCTTGGCATTTGGACCATTTACTAAACTTTCAAACATATATACATATAATCTTGGCCCCTGGGTAATAATGACATTTTCTACTACCTTGGTGTATAAATAACTATTATAATATGCTTTTGCCACAGATTACTCGCTTTTTGCTTTGACCACCAAACCGCCTCGCACCATCAACGTAACCGTTCGTTCCCGAAAAAATCGCTCGCATACGAAATCAGACTGCGATTTTTTCGGGAATGAACGGGTAATCAGATGTTTGGTCTGTTTCGTTTTAAATGGTGAACCTTGTATATAAAAACCAAATGTAATATGTACCTGTACCGGATCGCGTACTCAGAGACGATCGAGTCCGAGGGGGCGCGCCACTGCACGATCACAGAGTTGGTGGTGGTCTTGTCTATGGTCATGTTCGTGGGCGGCCTGGGAACTGAAGGAAAAAAATGTGGGTGATTATTTTTTTCACATGTCAAAATGCGACCCGCAGTTAACACAGATTGATCCCTAGGCGTCACATTCATGTCATACATCACACCCGTGACTCGAAATGGGGACCCACAGGAATGACAATGACTGCTATTCCGGACCCTTCTGGTAATTTTATGAATCACATTATGATGCCAAATGAAACTCACAATCATATACGTATTAATAATCAATACGGATAATCTCTATCTGTTTCCATAGCGAAACATGAAGCCGATTTTTGAAGACAAATGACTATCCATAAGGAAAAGTTTTGAAACGATCAGACACATACTGCTTTGATTGAAAGGCTAGTAAACGTCATTGTCCACCGAAACGCATGTCTTTGATGACTACTATAATAGCGCATGGCGCATGCGTATCATGCCATCAAATCCTTATGGATATTCATTTGTTTCATATTTTTGGCTTCATCCTGGCACCCGTTATGATCCGTATTGTTTATTAATACGTATATGCTCACAGTACGTGTTAAGCGACTTCTCATTCAGCAACAAAATTGCTTGATTCTGTTTGTTAGATAAATAGACAAGAATCAGACGTTCCAGTGAGTCTTTAGGTTGTTAGATAGACTCACAAATTCACCTACATTTTAAATCTCAAATCCAATAAAATTTGACGAATATTGCGATTGTTTGAAAAAAGAAAGAGTACTCTGGCGATACCAATGATGTTTTCTTGTAATTCGCATTGTTTCCTATAACGAGAAATGAATGTGACATCCTAGGGATGTTTGTGTTTACTGGGACGTTTTCGTTGTTCCAACCAATATCACAATGCTCAATTCTAGCCAATGATTTGGTATCAAACTGATAATTTGTTAGTAGCAAATTACAGCGATTATTTTTTTTTGCATGTCAAAATGTGACATTTCCGTTGTTTCAATCAATAGCAATGCGCAATTCTAGCCAATCATTCCGTATTATACTGATGAAATTGAATGGTTCTTTATGAAAATTTGTTAACATTGAACTGTCAAAATTAATTTGACTTACCAGTATCGGCTATCTTCTTTCTTTCGACCTATATCTCATGTGTGAGTAACTCAAATAAAAATTTATTTTGAATATTACGCTTTATACGTATATATACGTGTACGCATCCTAGCTTGTAGTCACCGCAAAGCTATGCCACACACATCACCTTTAGAACCATTTGACGAATCATAGTTAGAAAGACGTAGTATTTATTTGACTGGTGAAATTTGCTAGTCTTTTTATCGGATTGGTGAACAAAAAATCATCCTTCCAAATACAACTCGTCCCTCAAATTTTATCCCATAATTTTTTTATTTTCTTCTTCTTCTTCTGTTGTCTTTATTGGTTTTCTGACTCCTTGCGGTGCCAATTCCACCAGATCGGGTATAGTTTTTTTATTTTCATCACTCAAACTTTTTTATTTGAGGTAAAATCATTCAAACAACCCGAATTAGATAAAATCACTTGTCCTACGGACTCGTGATTTTATCAATCGGTTTATTTTCATATAATTGCCAAATAAAAAAGTTTTCATAGAAAATTATGAAAATTATCGATAAAATTTGAAGGACTCGTGGTATTTCCTACTACAATTTTTTCACGTTTGGATCTCATAGACCACGTTGATGGTAGGCTGTTTTGTTCGACGAACAAGTCAGTTCGAACAAAAATTACGCGAAACCGAAGTGTGTGGCTGTAAATTCTCGTTTTCGCTGGGCATTTTGCGTAATAGTTTCGAAAATAACGCCAAATTATATTCGTGTTGGTAGTATTTTTCATAATGTTAACTAGATATAAGCACTCGTCTTTGTTGCTATTGAGAAATCCCACTCGTAGACTTCGTTCACTCGTGAGATTTCCATAGCAACACAAATTCGTGCATCTAGTTACTTATCAAAAAATTGCCACAGTTGTGAAATTACTATTGATTATTTCACAAGCAGTCCTATCGGCCAATACTAATGACAAGAAATTCAAATCGGCCAATTGCATCAAAATTACATTGAAAAGTCCACGACGTGTATGAAACTGTCGTCTCCTGCGATATAAAAACATACAGCGATGGACATTTTTATTGATGGGAATTGTAAATATGCTGCAACATTTTCCACATCACAAATTTCCATATCTACTGAAAGCTGTGGACCTACTTAGTAGGTGGTTATAAAAATAAAAGCTGTCCAAGTTATGTAGAGATTCAGGGGAGGGTTACAAAATGAAACATTTTCAATTTTGCCCTATATTTCGAAAACGAAGCAGGCTATTGAAAATATTGTTAGTGGTATCATGAGTTTTACAAAAAAAGCCAATGTTTGGCAAAATCCGCAAATTTCTATCATCAAAAATAAGTTTGGTATCCTGTAAGGACATCGAAAATGGAACACCCTGTACATTAATTAATGATAGACATTGCAACTACAGAGTTTAAATTTTTTTTTTTTTGGAAAGAGAATCACATTTTCATGTATACGAATTATTTAAGTTTCCAATGGAATCGTATTCGCATGAAATGGAAATGAGAGTGATAATTTATTGTGGATTTTTTTACAGATTCCATGTAAATTACAGAAAATTCGCATTGATGAAAACTTAGCTAGAAGCTCATTGAAAATAAATCTGCAATGAGAATTTCTTCTTTATCCACTTATGAACTTTGACACTTACACACTGGTTGAAAATATTCGTGCGGCTCGCTTTTCAGCCCATGGGATATAGCGAAAACTTTCACCAAGTATCCGGCACCGGGATAGAGATGACTCAAAATGATCTTGGAGTCGTATGTGGTCCGTATGTTCCTCTCGTTCGTGTCGTTTCTGATCCAGTGGACTTCGTACTTGTCCTGTTTGGAGTTCACGTCGGATTTCCAACTAATGTTCAAACCGTCCACCATCGGCCTGAAACACCGAAAAAACACAAAATCAGATCAACTCATCATCTATAACAACTGACCCAATATGCGATAATTATTAAGAGAAGAAATTAGGTCGGTTAAGTGAGAATATGCTCATAAAGCGGAGAAAAAATACTTTTTATTACGCTTCTTTGAAATCAACTTGTTTTCACCCATATTAGTAATATTGTAAGATAGGCTTTTTGGGGCTATCGCACGGAAACAGCGCACGGAAAAACTTTGAGAATAACCATGGAAACGAATCATACATGCCAAACACTGTATTATCAGCATTGTTTATTCTCTGCCAATCAAATTTATGCCAAGAAAATGAACTCGATGAACGCGACCGCGATTTTATTACCAGTAAAATCCAGGTCTAGTAGTTCCAAGTTTTTTCATTCCTACAACTGTGGAAATAAAAATGTTCCAAGTTCTTTTTTGGTCTTTTTATGTGATATTTCATTATTATATTTTTATTTTCATCCAAGTGTAATAACAAATATCGTTCATTACACGCCCAGAAATAATTTTTCCCTGCTTGCATGATTTTTTTTGTCACACACGCGTGAAAAAATCTATATTTCCAGACTCGTAATGAAATATACTATTTGTATCTGCAATAATAATCTTGTTATCCTTTGGAAAGCACGAATGGGAATTCCTATATTGATCGAAGAACATCGTGCCTGCCTTGGAAGGGATTATTCGGCTAAATGCTGGGTGTGTATGACCGATGTTTGGGTAGTCCAGAATCATGGGGAATTTCCTGCTGTTAGTGTTAGGTGGCTTAAAATAGCCCAGACAGTCGTGTTATTAATTTGATTTGAAAGAACTTGTTCGGAGGTCACAGAGGTTCATGATCATTGGTTTGTGACATCAATAGGGAAATATACCGTCTTGGTTTGATTTTCAAGGGTGCAGGAGTGAGATAAAAATTATAAGTTTGAAACTGATACGATACCGCACTAGAAAACCTGACAGATTCTAGTGCAATTTTTGTCCTTTCTCGATGTTTGTGAATTGTAGGGATTTTTGGCAATCTAGGGAATTGTTATGGACTTGTTACCATCACCCCCTACCTCGAATTCTCGATTATCGGGTGTCTACCTATCGTTATTCAGTCGATACTGACTGGAACGAGCACGAAGCTTACGGAACAACCGAAAAGTGTGGCCGCTTTGTAAGAGGAGTACAGACGTTGAGAGAGGGAATGCTTTATCATTCTATCTCATAGCGTCAAACGTGTCGTATGTGATAAAGTGTTGATTAATTAAATTTTTTACGAAAATCTTTCAAAAATGGTGGGGTATTTTTGTGCCTAGGGTTGTAGAAATGAGCGAACTCCTGGAAAAAACATTAGATTCCTTGGTGAGTGTATCATTGATGCGGGTATTACACAACAATCTACAAAATTTATAATTTAATAGTTCAGCTTTCGTTTTTATTTTGTCTGAATTGTTTTCTATGGTAAGAGTCTGATGAGTCTTTCATGTTCATTCTCTTGTAGATTTCCACTGAAACGACCAGAAGTCTTACAATTATGGATTGAGGCAGCGAGGCTGAAAAATTTCGTACCCACTGCTAATACTGTAATATGCCGCATCGTACATACATTAGACTGTATGTACGCTGAATATGCAGTGACCACTCCACTATCTAGGGCAATACAATTTCAAAAAGAGAATTGTCATTTCAGTTACACAATTTTTTTTTCAAAACTCTCATCTCTTTTTCAAAATATACATCCTGTGCTAGAAATGAATGATGAATTACATGGGATCCAGTTTTTGAAATACTACATCTAGCGGCCACCACAGGATTTAAATCGACTTGATTCGTGATTCATCTGAAAGGAACAAAAAACCCTTCATAATGAGACCAAGATCGTTGAATTCCGTTACACCAAACTGTAGTAATGAGAGTTTTTTCAAAGTACTATTCATCCTTCCCTCCCTCTTCTTTTTAAAGGCCTAGTGCAATTTTTTTTGATCGAAATGATTGAACTCGAGAACATGGAAGAAGTGTTTCTGATATGTCTTGATAAATCAAATTTTCATAAAAACCCGTTTATTAAACTGGCCAATGCAATTACGCCCTCTAGCGGCTGTCCTGGAAACTTGAAAATAATTTCCAGAGATTTCTCTTGGCCACTTTCATCATTCATATTTTTTTCTAAACCTGTGCGGCAAATAGTTTCCGATATACAGCCGGCGTTCAGTTCGAAGGTCCTGTCCAAGATAACTCCCTCCTTACCTCAAATCCTCGATGATCGGGGTGCTGGGCTTGGTCGCCACATAAATAACCTCCTCCGTACTCTGCCTGTCCCCGCTGACCGCCTGCACCGCCACCGAGTAGTTCCTGCCGGGCAGCAGCGCCTCCAGGCCGATGCGCGTCCCATTCGCCGTCACCGTGTTGCTGTCGCCCGTGGTGCTCTCCACCTCGTGGTAGGCCACCAGGTAGCCGTCCTGGGTGCTGGCCGGGTCCTGGCGCCAGGAGATGGTCTCCGCGCCAGTGGTGGGGTCGGGCGTCGACCGGAGGTTCTTCACGGGAAGGGGTTCTAGAAGGACAGTAGCACATGGTTTTGGATTTTCTATTATCATCACGTTTTTATCAGTATTACACACCGAGGTGGGAAGTGATTCAATCCTGCCGTGAGATTAGTTTGTTAAGCGAGACGCAAAGCGTCGAGGTTAGAGTTAGAGTCCCTGTATATACCTTAGCTATAATTTCGAGACACAGGAATGAAACTTCCTACCGAGGTTTGTATTTTATTGACAACCATCATATTTCGATCAAAATTAATAAATCTCTGTTTCGTTCTCCACACTATGTCTACTCGATATTGTCAAGAATGAATCGAAACAATAATAATTTTATTGGGAATATTTGAAAAGTCTAGATCATATTCTTAGAATTATTTAGCTTACAGGATATCAGTAGAGAATTACGATATTGAAAGGAAATTATAGTTCGGATTTCAATCCTATTATTATTCAAGTAAAGTCGCTGACGGGCAGAAACTGCTGGTTTTGGATTTTTCCTAATCGAGGTGAATACACTAGTTTTTATGCTGCATCAATTACCACTACCAAAGCCGACATGAAAAAGTATTAGAGAAGAAACCGGCAGTTGTGGTTCGGACAGTGGACCGTAAAGTATAGTTTTTTTTCAAATTCGCTAACAAAAAAGTAAATGAACATTTTTGCATCATGTCTAAACTTCGTGAGTGACAGTTCCAATCCTCCAAACAAAAGCGAGCCTTTCTGTAAGTACGTTTTTTAATATTACTAGTTTTAGTTTTCTTGTTTTGTTTTTATTTGAGTTGGATGTATCTTGCTGGGAAATTGGTCAATTCATTTCATGTCCGAATTGGTTTTTGATAAAGATGAATAAATTTGTAAAGTGGAGTTGAATTCTTTGATTATAATTTTCATGAAACCTCTTGCAAGCGTGTAAGTTCGAGTTACGATTGTGGGGGTTAGAACCCGCTCGTGACAATATCAACGATTCATGTCCAGTACACAGCTTCGCGGATGATAGTACCCTCCATACCGCCTCCTCTTCCAGGTCTCCAATACCAGCCAGGCAAATCAGAAACGAACGAGAGAGAAATGTTGACAACATAAATATGGACTTACTTATGGACTTACCTCATTTCCCTTGGTTCTCACGTTGTTCTCTGAACATTACAGGATATCCCTTTTCGTGAGAACCAGAACATAAAAAAACTGAATGTGTAAGGTTAAGTGTTCAAAATATTCATCATAAATATCACTCCATAGGATGTTTGGGTCATTTTGCAATTGTGATAATTATCATTGTGGAACTTTTTATATAGAGATCGGACGAACCAGATTCCTCAATGAAAAAAAGATGGAAAAATCACAAATTATTCACACACTGAAGTTGAATGATAATTAAAATACCTAATTCACTGATCCAATATACAAATGAATTTGGAAAATTCTTCACATTGCAATATGCAATTTGAATTGCACTTATTGTTCCCGTACTTGTTTTTCATTTCAACTATAAAATACCTTATATAATATTCCACCAAAAGTATACTTGACTCACCCAAAGTAACTTCACCGGTGAGAGGCCACGATGTGACTTTTCCGGAAACAGTTTTAACCACCACAGAATATGTTTTTCCAGGCTCCAAATTGTCCTTGAACTCCCAAAAAGTTGGGTCATCTTTGGACCTCGGAACTGGCGGTGGTTTCCTCACCGTTCCCAAAGAAATCTGGTACTTATCGAATTCACTAAAAAAAATAGGGGGTTGAAATCATTTTATCTTCAACAAACTCCCCAATTTGATCACATCATCATTATGTATAGAATAGACATACACATATTTGTTTCACAAGGTGGTAAAGTGAAACCAAAATGAGATGCCACCAAATAAAACATGCTATTTTAAATTTGTATCTTGCATGCATGAAATATATACAATATCAGAAGTTAGAAGAAAAAAATGCATATTGAAATATCATTAATTTTTTACTAACCTTTTACCACTAGGTGGTTCCCAATGTACTACGAATGAGTTTGTGGTAACTTTGTCTCTCTCGAACCAAATTTTCTGTGGTTTCAAGGGCACCGTCCTATACTGAGCAGTAGTGGGGGTCGAAATCTCATCTTCCGACATAGTTTGTACGGAAATGTTATAAGCCCTTCCAGGAACCAACCTAAAGACACAGCACTTTCACAATTCCTGAACATTTGGTGGAAGTCCATATTGCTCGAAATGAAGTGACATTTTTAGAGGAAGGGAGGAAAGCTTGAATCATCTCCACGAAATTTAATGACCTTGTTAAATAATTAAAGATATGTTTCGGTCATAGAAAAGACAATCTCAGCCTAATCACAAATCACAAGTTCTACAATAGACAGAAAAGATTTTGGTATGGTGGAAGTAACAGTATTGAGTGTTGACTTACTTGAAGTCGAAAGATTTGTTTATTAACTAGTTAATATGCCTACCGATGCTCACAAAATCATACGACATAACATAATGAACAAAATGATAGTTTAAAAACTCATCAAACGAATAAAATGCTTTTTTCAGTAAACATTTCTTGAGATTTCCTATGAATTTTGAACCTTCCATTTGTTCAAACTTGTCAGGTAAAACATTGAAAAAACGTACAGCAATGCACCTAGGGCCATCTTGACACGTTTCTAGTCTACAGAATTCGGGTTCCAAGTTTTTTTGTTTCTTGTGGTCATGATTATCCTGGTGAGTCTCTTGTAGATGAAGGTTTTTTTTTAACATAGCTTAGACATTCAAGAATGAAAACACATGGGAATGTCAAAATGTGTAGATCTCTAAATGCTTGCTTACAGTCATCACGATAGGGTAAACCTGCAACAATTCTAACTGCCCGTCGTTGAATTTTGAAAACCTCAACAGCACTCGCAGCATGTCCCCATACCAATATTGCATAAGAAATGTGGCTATGACAGAGAGCAAAATAGCACTGTCTTACAACCATTCTGTCTACACAATGAGAAAGATTTCTTAGAACAAAAATGTTTGTGTTTAGTTTATTGCATACTTTTTCTACATGTGGCCTCTAGTTCAATAGAAAATCTGAGATAACTCAAAGAAACCCTACAGTAGGTGGAATCTCACAGTCAGTTAATTCCCGTAAAGTGAATAGAGTATTGAGTGTTTTAGTCTCGTTTAAAAAGAGGAGGTTTGCCGAGAACCAATGGGCTTATATCACAAAAAAAATTATTTCATATTTCGATAGAACTCACCCAAACTAGCTCACCACCGCAAACCGTTTCTTGCTGTGAGCTCCCTACGTTTTATAAAAAATTATTGAAATCCCCGATTTTTCGGATCTCTGAAAACGAGGCGATGATTTGACGTCGAAACCCTAATACTGGAACAAGACTATTCCAGACAGAGATGAATGATACATGATTTCTGACAGAGTGAATTGCGCGAGATCACAGTTGAAAGGATTAATATATCAGTTGCCTCAGTCTCCGTCGGGCGTTTGGTATTTTCTTTTAAGTATGGCGAGATGAGGTTCCTACGTCATAAGAGGGTCCGTTTTCAGAAGGTACTATTATTTATGTCCGAAAATAAAACATTCCAGTTGATTTTTCGATCGAATTATGTTGTCAATCATTATTTATGTATAAAAGGATCATTATAAACATGGTTTGAGTTGAAAGTCCTACACACGGCCATTTTCGGCACTCGACTGTGCCTCTTTTGAAACCTCTAATACCTCAGGGCTTTTGACTGTGTCGATCATGCAAAACTACTAGATAAACTATATTCCTACGGTTTGAGGGGCATACCTCTAGATTGGTTAGCATCTTTCTTGAGAAATCGCGAGAAATATGTGAGCATAAAATATAAAAATCAGAATAAATTAGAAAATGCATCATCTTCTAATTCAGAAGTCACTGTAGGTGTCCCACAAGGTTCTATCTTAGGCCCTATACTATTTCTTCTCTACATTAATGAAATTGGTACAATATTTCCTAGGATTCATTTCACATTATATGCTGATGATATATCATTGATTATTTCGAACAAATCCAATAATATCCTACAAAATGAATGTGAATTTATATTAGAGTCTTTGATGAGATGGTTTTCGTCGAATAAATTATCATTCAATCCAGATAAAACATCTATCGTCAGATTTCAGACAGCTCAACGTCACAGCAGTGAGGATTTCATTATCGAACTATCTAGTCAACAACTTGTAACCAGCGATACTGTGAAATTTCTGGGTATTGAACTAGACAAGAATTTAAATTTCAAAACACATTGTGAATCATTAACATCTAAACTTAACTCATTCTATTACTTGATATACAATTTGAAGACTATTTTGACTCATGAACAATTGATGAACTTTTACTATGCACAGGTGGAATCTCGTTTGAGATATGGAATTAACTTCTGGGGCAATTCCATACATTCTAAGAACATATTCATTGCACAAAAACGAATTGTAAAACCAAGACAACACTCTTGCAGAGATCTTTTCAAAAAACTGAACATATCAACTCTGACTGGATTATTCATTTTTGAGATATGTTTATTTGTCCATAGAAATAGAGAAGTTACACCGAAAAATTATGATACGCACAATTTCAATACGAGACAAAAAAATAACTTGCGGATACCCTTTGCCAGATTGAATATTACCAGTTCATCGCCAAACTTTATTGGGCCAAGATTATTCAACAAATTACCTGAATCAATAAAAAACTGTGAAAAGGAAACAGAATTCAAAAAACAAATCAAAATATTTTTAGTTGGCAAAGTTTTTTATACTGTGAACGAGTTTTTGTGTACGTAATATTCCTATTTGTCATATACACTCATTAGTATGTAAGTTTTCTATTTTTTTTCTTTTTTTAGTTCGTAAGTTTCATAGTTTCTTAGTATCTTTGACTATTCCTATACAATGTATGTTGTCAGTTGTGGAAAATAAATGATTTGATTGATTGATTGATTCATCATAAAATTCAGAAGTTTAGCTAATTGTGGTATCATCTGCGAAGTAGCTGAATCTTGCAGATGAATCTATACAGGAGAGGTCATTGATGTATGTTTATGTGTTTATTCGTCTATCTATATGAATTATTGCATAGATTTCGGGAGGATATAATTCATTGTTAGGATATAATTCATTGTTCTGCGTGACATATAGCCAGGAAAGTGTTTTTTTTCTCTCGTTATCTACCAATTTCGTTCATTTATGAACATTTGTGGAAATTACTTTTAGCTTCGCGTATTTATTTAGTCTGAAGATGGTCTTTTCTAACACCGAAACATGTCCCTGATCATTTAACAACTTCATTTAATTTTGTGGGGATTGCTACGACCTTTCCTTCCTTCTTTTAGATTCTAGACAGATTCAATGTTCACAAACCCCTTGAAAGCTGCCTGGGCAGGCCCTGGTGGTTCTCCTTCTTTCTCAACATACAGTACGCTGTCGTTGGCATCTGGAGGGTCGATAGAGACCTTGTAGTGGGTGTAGATAGCTGCGGGGTAGGGAGGCTGCCATAGAACCAATAGCGTCGTTTCGTTCCTGAACCATACAATGAACTTTCCGGGGGTATTAGGTTCTGAAAAAAATCATCAGTATTTCGGCATGCTGTCTCACAAAGAAATTAAGGGGCTCAGTTCCAAAACTAGTTTCATCCGAACAAAAAACATTCGATTGAGAGAGTTCTGGAATTAACATTTCGTTTGAAACTTTCAGGCGTTTACTTTCCAACCAAATGATAGTTATTAAACCAACTAGTGTTATAATGAGCATGCGAGCGCGTTAGTGTTCGAGATTATTAATTGCCTCATCAATATACGAGTTGGTTACAAAATATTTCCGTCGACTATATATTTTTCTCCAGCAATGCAGAAAATTTGGTTCGCGAATTCATTATTCATCCGGATTCCGGAAACTATACTAACAATCACCCGGTAGCCATAAAAGTCAACTTGTCACTGTCCTAATGTCATTCGAAATTAGGCCTTTTCGTTTGTATTGCTAAACTTGCTAAAGTTGATTTTTTTCCCATACTTGTCCTTGTTCATGGAATGATGTAAACAGAGAGAGTCATAGAAACAAATCTAGTTCAGCAGGTTGAGCAAGCACAAACGAACAGGCCTATTATCAACATGGAATAGCTATTTATATATCAAGGGAGCAAAGGTATCTACTTCCTCCCGCGTGTGAAGTTTGATGCACGACGCCTAGCGGAGGACATTACACAAACACACATGGGAGGAAATGGACCTTTGCTGCCATGATATATTTGATTTTATCAACGAAGGCATTTTTTTAAAGCATAATAATTCTTGAAATTGTGCTTGAAGCGGTCTATCTCTCGATCCAAATCATTATGCAATACAAAGGTATAGAATGCCATGGACAATTGAAGGCATTTGAACGAAAGTCAATTTGACACTGTCATCATGAATCAATTGATTTGTATGTTGCGTAACTCCAAGTTTTGGTTAGAAGTAAGTTCGGAATATGAAGAAGCTTATGATATCATTATGGAATTGAAAGAGGATATCGTTGTTACTTATTTTATAATAGTGATAAAGACACTGAATACTTAGATTGCACAAATTTTATAGGTATATCGACGCCAAAGGATGCATGCTAAAGCCAATTTTGTTCCTTCCCAGGAAGTAAATTGACAACTTTGTTTCCTGAGGGAGCAAACGCCTACTGTCGATTCAGTGAGTAGATAAAATAAATTCCGTTTGTGTCAGAAAACGGATTAAAATCGGTTCAGGTTCTTGAAAAGCTAACCCCGTTAACGTGAAATCTTCGATGAAATCTATATTTTCAGTTTAAATGCAGATTCCGTAAGTAATAATCTCAACAGTGAAACGCTGCGGTGTATTCTGGTTGCTTATACCACAATCGTACGTTAATAGACAAATTGATCGTTAATAGGGGTCATTATTAGGGGTCATTCGATCAAATTCGTGTACATTATTAAAACTAGAGTCACTAGATATTAGTTAGATAAGAATTCGGACACAGCTGAACTTTGGTCCTTTTCTATTTTCTATATTACAATTGTAAAATTGTTCTATCCGTCATTCGGTTGCCCCCTTACGAGCAACCCTCAGAAGTCTTCGAGAGTCTTGTGCGAGCAAGGGATGACGGGGGCCTTACCTTTTAACGTGTGATCCCAAAAACTTTCTTGGGCCATCAGAAAAATTTCTGCAGTCGCGGGGAATTGAACCCATGATAGGCAAGCGAATGGAACATGAAGATTGTTTTGATTTTTCACCTTTTGCTGATTCACTTTCCACTGATACATTGAAATTCAATGATATATCACGTTGAAATTCACTTGATTTCCTCAGTTTCGTTCTCAAATTTTCAATTTCATTACGTAGTTTTGCATTCAATTCTTCTTTCTCAATGATAGTTTTGTTCTGCTCTGCATCCCCTCTAAGGGATCTTAAAATCGTCTGTTTGAAAATGGGTCTGAAATATAACTTCATTCTAATCTGCTGTTATGAAATAGTATATTATGTAACAAACGTCCTTTCAGTAACGAGTATTTTAAGCACGAGTGGAGCAGAGCGGAGCGAGTGTTTAATAAACGAGCGTCTAGAAGAGTGCTTACTAACCTTGTTTCACGTTCATGTCATGCTTAGCGCAGAATGAATGAATTGTTCTCAAAGATGGATGCTTCATTTTTACACTTCTTGGAGATATGCAAGTACCAGAACATTCTCTTCGATTACACTCTCGCCTACATTTCGCATATATTTTTAATGAATAATTCTGATACAAACGAATATTGTTTGAATAATTCTGATACGAAATTTGAAAATAACAGTTGACAGTTGATACAATTGACAGGCCAGACATGTCTCAAATTACTGAAGGTGTGTTTAATGAACTGTGTTGCCATAACTTCATAAATCTAAACCCCTCAAAAACACTAAGAGTTGTCATTTCTGTGTCCGAACTCGTATCTAATTAATACCATCCAGTGACTTGTATACAAAGTCGACGGAAAAAATTATATATTTATAACTTGACATCAACCAACTATCCATATTACCACATAATCAATGACTAGCCATTCATCTCAAAGCTGACTGACTGTACATGCCTGATACCATTATTATTCCCATACAACAAATCGTTCATATTATACCCATGTTTTGGTGAAACCACCGATATGCCACTTACTTGTGGTGAAATTTCTTGAAGTATAAGCTGCACTTTCTTTATTCTCAAACACCGTGAAGGCTTGGACTTGGTAGGTGGCTCCAGGTACAAGATAATTCAGCACATACTTGGTCCCATCCACGTTATCGATAGTGACCGGTTGCTGTTTTTGATCGGAGATGTGCACCAAGGGGTTGATCTTCAGCTTAAAGCTGGTGAAGCTGCCTTGGGATGGAGGATCCCAGGATATGATGGCCGTTTTTCCGCTCCGAACGTTGACAGATAATCCTGATGGAGGGTCGGGAACTGAAAAAAAAAATATTGATGTTTTCTTGTATTATTTATGGTACCCAATGAAAAGATATTGTTCAGTGCCACAAAAAATTGATTCATCTTGCAGCCATATCTGTATTCCAGATACTATAGAGATAGTTACTATTGAAATATATACATATCCTGGACAGGCAAGAAAGTTCCCTAACTACTAGGGAAACTTTAATAAAGACGGGTGCATACTTGAATGGCACTAGAAAACAATAAGATAATCACCATTATCAAAAAAGGATTCTTGGAACTAATCACCTACTTACCGCTAGTGGCCGTTTTCATTATAAAGGGTAATTCATAATTATTTTAGTGCAATGATGATTGAAGTGATCTTCGTTAGAATATAATTAATATAATATTAGAAGCACCCCCGTGGACTACTGAGCCAAAAATAACAAGGTGACATTTATCACATTGAAAATTACCATCTCATGAATGTGAAAGTGAAGCGGATACTGTGAATATTCCAAAAGAATCGATGAAATATTTCAACTTTATCACCTTGCAAATTGATAACCATCAACATTTTACTAAGGTCTTATTAGCCATATTTTGAAGCTAGCATTTCACCATAGTTCGGTGCACAATTCATTATAAATCATTTTGTGTTCAAGGTCATTGAGGGCTAGACACTCGTTATTGAACTCACGGTAAGTGAACAGTTGACCTGTAATAATGAACGGTTTGATGCTTCACTGACTAGTGTACCGATAACTTGTGCATGATAGAGTTCTATAATGTTTCTGAAATGTAATATTTGTTGCATTATCATAACATTCAATGCTACGAAACCATTTGAGAAATTAGAGGAGAGTTCACCCACATAACGTCAAACAGTCAGACACACGATTAATACGAAGTTTTGTGTGATTATAGGATGAACATTCAAATGTTTTTTCATTGTTTCATTGTTACAGATGTGTTTGTTCATGAACATCGTAGCGATAGAACATTTGTGATATCGCTATGTTATCTATATACGCGACATCTCAGAAATGACATGTCACAGATGCGTTGGCTGGGATGTCTCCTCATCGTTATGGACTTACATCAGTTACAGTTTTGTTGCAGTTCACTCCCCTATCTGCTCTATTAATTCAATCGATTGATGCAATTTCATGAATAGTTATTTATTATACAAGGGAAAAAAGTAGTAGATTTTATCTCCAGGTTGTGTTGTCTCCCGACGCGTAGCGGAGGGAGACAAAAAACCGTGAGCTAAAATCTAATATTTTTCCCGTGTATAATACACTATTTTTTTCTGTGACAGAAGGAAGGACGAATCAATATTGGAAAGATATTACATTATTTCGAAATCTGAAAATTATCGACGTGAAATTTCAAGTTTTTAACAGTAGGGACACCTGCGTTTTATAGACATCTTCATCATTCTTTTGAAGTAATCAAATATCTGATGTCACTTCTGTCAGTTCAATTTTGTGATTTGATTTTAGAAAATTGCGAATTCAGTAGTTGTTTAGTAATATACGAAACGGCGAAGTCGAATGGAAGATAAAAGGACTTGCAGTTCTTTCTCGGAGACGGTATTATTGACTTATTTTTCGGAATTATAGCACAACAAAAGCCATTAACAGAGTATATATATGTGATATATATCCGGGAAAGAAGTACTCACTTTTTTCCCACGGCAAAAAAGTAATTTATGAAAAGTGACATTTTATAACCTGCCAACAGAAATGAAATGCCAAACTTTTTTCCCGTCACAGAAAAAAAGCATTTCTCATGAGGATAATGTGACTATTCCTATTTTCCTGAAATTTGTCGATTTTCTGGCGACTTTCTCAAGAAAATTTGGCGCCGTCAATTTTTGAATCCTGGTAACACTGCCTACCTGTAGTAAAATTCGCAGTCCATGTTAGAGTATTGTGAGTGGCGTTGGAATAGTACAGCCAGAAATCGTATTTGGTGCCTGGCAAAGCTTGCGAAAACTTGATGACGTCTCTGATGTCTTTCGAGGCTATGGTGGTGTTCGGAGCGGGATGACCAAAAGGCGGAAAGTAGTCCAGTCTGTAAACGACGCCATCTTGGCCCAAGTTGCCGGGAATATGGATGACGAGCTCAGCGCCAAGAGAAACCTAAAACAATGATTTCATTATGATTCATAGAATAACCGTCAAATGACAGATGGATCGAAAATTATTGTTGGCTCTTCGTTCAAAAAATTATTGAAGATTCCTCATAGTTCAAAATATAAATAGATGGCGGATTTACTTAAATAGCAACTAGAAATTTGTGTTTTAATGAGAGAACGTGGATTAGGTGGATCTGTGAGCAGTGCGAGGTGGTTTTCATTTTATACGTTTTACCTAATTTTGCACCTATCATGCGATGGATTTTTTTCGAAAAATTTTTTTGTTACTTACTTATTTTTGTCTGAAAAACACGAATTTGATAATGAAAATGTGAACAAACCACTATTTATCGAGATATTTCAAGAAAAAGTTCGAAATTTCGCCTTCTTCTTCCCCTTGTGTTGGATGCATCTTCCCCTTGTGTTGGATGCATTTGCTCTTCTTATTTTGTCATTGGACACTTTATATACTCATGATGTATTTCAATGACACATTTTTCTATAGAAAATTCAACAGGAAAGTTGAAGAGTTCGGAGTTGGAGAGTTTTTCATATTCAGTGAACAAGCATACCAGATGACTGCCATTTAATCAATAGTCAATCCGCTGTTATTTTAAATTATATTCCTCCTTCTTTTCACTGAACATGGAGAAATCACAAGAAAATCATATTCCTAGTTGACTCATATAATAGAAAAATATGTGTCGGACATTGTCCAATGATGGAAAAAGAAGTGCAAATTGTTTTCAAAGGTGAAATTTGTAACTTTATAGTGAAATATCTTAATAAATAATGGTTTCTTTACATTTTCATTATTAAATTCGTGTTTTTCAGAGAAAAATACGTAAGTACCAGAAACAATTTTCGAAAAAAAAACCGATCGCATGATGAGTGCAAAATTACCTTATATTTGTAAGTATTTCTCATTTTCAAATGAGACAGTCGTGACACGTGGGGTCAGTATAATTACATACCGAGTGTAACAGAGCAGATGATAATAGTACACAAAGATCTTTTCAATTTACAATGTCTGCGAAAATATATAGATAGGTATATAGGGTGTTCTGGGTTTTCCTCTGAAATAACGAAGTCGATATTTGTTTCGGAAAATACAGGATATATCATCATTTAAAAATCAAGATATAGGCCACGCTCGGCGAAATCTGAATTATCAAAATCGAAATGTATACAAAGTTTGACATAAATAATTAGGCTCGATTACGAGATATTGTCGGTGTGTGTAGAATCTATAGGAATATACAGGTGAGTTCATACAGCATTTAAAACAAAATAAGTAATAAAAACAGAATAAAATAAGAAAGTTCAATATGGGCATTTCCATAGATCCGTTCATACAGGAAATAAGTTGAGAATAAGAATTGGAATAAAATAAAAGATTTCTAACTTTCATCTTTATATTTTATTTTATTCCGAAAATAATAATGCGCATGACCTTAATGAATTCTGTCAAAAAGTTTCCACAGAATATGAAACATGAAACGTCATTGTCATCAATGCCGTGATTGGATTGGTTGATTCCTTCATCATTAATTTATTTCAGTTATCTGTATGAACAGTGGATTTCATTCCTTATTCCTCAAATTATCATATCTTCCTTATTTTATTTTAATTGCTGTATAAACCCACCTTATTTACACGAATTCAGAAATGAGGTGGTAAGTATAACGATAAATAATATGAATTTGACCTGTTTAAGTTTCTAAATGATATAAATAATAAATGAATAATGGTTTCATTGTTTTCAGAAGGTCGACCTTGGGTGCAGCGAATGAAAAATATTGTGATAGGCAAATTCTCCCGCATTGATACATTTAATTTTAAAAAGTACGCTTCGTGAGCAACTCGAATTATGCAACACCAAAAATAAAGCGAACGCCTAAGCACTCGCCTAGAGAGACCGCAATAATAATCGGAGCTAAACTGCCATTTCCTAATTCGGTGAGCGCAAAATAAGGAGGCAATTTTGCTGATAATTCTACAAATCGAGAAAAGTTAAGGTTACGCGAAATTATAGTCGATCGTTTCCTCAACCATACAGTGGTTCATTCAATTAGCTCATGGGTGCATGAAAAAACGAATATTTATGTCATCACATCAGTCAATGAATACTGTCCATGATATTGTACACGAGGAATATTACAAATTCGTATAAATATTAATACCGTCAGTACCGAACTCTGCCTTTTGTCTTCAAACTCCATATCTGAATTGTAAAATGTAACATGTGTAGTTTGAGACAATAAAATCCTATTATTATTATTATTGCAATATGATAACCAGTAAACAATATTAATGGAATATCACTAATGCCATGGCACCATAGTAAACTATCATTGGCGAAATATCAATGTCAATGATTCAATGGCAAATCAGTAGAGTGACGCTTGCCGACTTGAAGCACTCAGTGGCGAATTAGAGTACTTAATTGTAAAACTTGCTCGTGGATCTAAAAACTATTGCTCGTGTAATAACTTCTCAAAGAAGTATTCAGATGGTATGCAAATTCCACAAAGTAGTGACCTATGCTGATATGTCAATCAAGGAATATTGGTCCAATTCAGAAATAATTTTCATCATTCATTCATCATTGAATTCCTGGGAGCAAAATATATACTGTCTGTAGGTTAATGGACGAGGTGGTACATTCATTTTACCTGATTTTTTTTGTATTTTCTCTCCTCGTTTCTATAAAATGAAAATATGAGAATTATTTCAATATATGTGTAGTAGGACAAATCTGATGATCTGCCCCAAAATGTCACTGTATTTAACAAATGTATCTATCAGGATCAGGGAGCCTAAAAGAAAAATCCAATAGCTTGTCAGTGACACTTTGTTTGAAAAAACGTTTGAAGAGATTAAATATAGATATATTAAAAAAATATCGAATTTTTACTCATCTTTAGACGTTGTTCTTCGACTCAACTTCTATCCATAGAATTTCAGTGATAGAACGATTCACCAAATTGAATACAAACAAAAGATACCACAAGAAGAACAACCATCAATAACGACGAATATAATACCACACATTCCCGGCATATCTGAGAAAATAAAACGTGTTGGTGATAAGTTCCAATTGAAAACAATGTTCAAAACTGAAAATACAATGAGATCCATTCTAACTCAAACAAAACCGAAAAATGAAGAACAATCATCAAAAAATTTATAGTATACCTTGTGTTTGTGGAAAGTATTATACAGGTGAAACGAAGAAACCTCTCTCAGTGAGGATGAATGAACACAAGTACAATATCAAGAAAAGACATATCGATGAATCAAAGCCTCGATCAAAGCTAACTGAACATATCCTTACTGAAAATGGACAACATATGGCCAACACGATGTGCTGAGACAATTTCTGAAAACATCATGTTGGGGATGCAAACCTACATACCGAACACTGCAAGGAGAACATCTTCCGATAAGGCCTGGTTCAGTAGAAACTGCTCTAGAGCTGTCGCTCCCAAACAGGCAGCATTCCATCGATGGCAGAGAAATCCAGACCCTGAGAAGGCATATGCAATAAGACAATTCGATCATCAAAGGTTGCTTATAATGTCAAGATCAAAACTTGTTGAATGTCCTAGCGGATCCCGTTCATTTTGGTCCTTTGTCAAAGCTGAAGGAAGAAACTTCACTTCCTGCTCGTTTCCTCCTCTAACCAAGAAAGATGGAACACTAGCCACAACTGCCCAGGACACACATTTATTTGCTGGGAATTCCTCTCTGGATTCATCGGGAAAACAACCTCCAAACATAACGCCAATTGACAGTCATATGCCCTAGATCACATTTCGCCAACGTTGCCAAGGACACTAATTCCTACCTTATTTCCCTTGGTACTCACGATGTTCTCTGAACATTACAGGATATCGATCTTCGTGGGAACCAGAACATAAAAGAAAGAGTGGAATAATATTGAAATTATATGAAAGGAAGATAGCAACCAAAAGAGAAATATCAAGGAATCCGCTTGCATTCTTCTGAACTGGGACAATAGCATTGCTTCCTGTTCAGTTGATATAGATAGAACATGGTATTCACTACTGAAAACTGAACATGAAAATGGTAGATTCAAGATCAATTGATGAAAATATCCTGTAGCTCATTTGTATACTAACATCATCACTCATCCATATGCCAACATCAGTATGTCGCTGTCAAACTATAAGAAAAACACGAGGAAAAACATCATTGAAGAAAAATGTTTTGCATTTTTGTGTTGAGAACGGGAGCGGATTTGTTCCCGAAACGCCCAAATATAAGTAAAACTTCGATATTTCTTCAATATATCGATATTTCTTCTCTTCAAACATTTTTCCAAATAAAGTGTCACTGACAAGCTATTGGATTTTTCTTTTAGGCTTTCTGATAGAGAAATTTGTTTAGCGTTGTAACATTTTGATGTAAATCATATGATTTGTCCTATGCTACACATATATTGAAATAGTACTAATATTTTTATTTTATGGATAGGAGAAGAGAAAATCCCAAATAATCAAGTAAAATGGAAGCAAAATATATAATATCGCGTTGTTTTACATGGGTCAAACCACAAGATCATGCAACGATAGATTTAAGGAACATGATAATTTGAAAGTTCTCTTTATTTCTTTCTTGGCCAACAAACGTCATTTATTTCCATCTTGGTAACCTAATCAAATCGAGGCAAATATACAATTCAATTATAATCTTCGATGTGAATGAATGTTATGATTATGTCTCGAGTTATGTTGACACTGCACATTAATTTCAATTCATGACTTAGCTTTACGCCGGTTGCATATATAGGATCTCATCAATGAAGCGAGAACATGTTGTAGAAAACAGAGTTACACAAGGATGTTTCTTCTATTTTGTACTCCAGCGTAGAAATGACACGGATGTTTCGTTCGTTCGTTTTTTCAGTAGATAGAAATTCCGATATTCATCTCGAAATTTCGGAATTTCAAAATTTCAATTCAACCTGACGAATATTCC